TAACACCGCACGCTTATGGTAGCTGCTTGCAGTGGATCGTTCTGCACTCATCTGCGTTTCGATACCTCCTAACCAGTGGCAGCATTTGGACCCGAGGATTGAGGGGCCGCATCGCTTTCGACTCCATGCGGGGATGTTTTTTGAGCTCATTTTTGGACCCTCTTTTTGGAGCTGCTTTCTAAGGCTAATTCGTGGAAGCACTTACAACCCCAAAACGAGGCTCCAAAATGAGGCCTCGTTCTGGCTCCACTTTTGGGGCCCAATTTGGGTTCAATTTCGGTGAGCCATTTCTCGTTGCAGGCCGTGCTCTTCTGGCGCCACGCTGCTTGGTTGGAACGCTCCAGCACGAAGCAGCCAGTCTACATCAATATAGATGAAACGGCTTTAGCCTATTCGTTCCATGCTGCGCCTGGCCTGATACAGCGGAAATTCCACGCAGAGGTTCAAATTAGACCTCAAGACGCACGTGGGTGCATCACCCACGTCGCTCTCGTCTCAAATGTCCTCGGTGTGCAAGCGTATTTGCCACAGATTTTAATATGTAACAAGCGTCGTCTCAGCAGAACCCTGGAGCAACAATTGCAAAGCGTTGTTCCCTCCACCGTGATGCTCTGTCGTGAGGATTCCTCATGGAATTCAGCACGACATATGGTCTCCTTGCTCACTCTCTTGGGTCAGCTCTTTCGCATCCGCTTCCCGCAATATCAGGCCATTGTTGTCTTCGACGCGGCCTCGTGCCATCTTTCTCCGGGCGTCATAAGAGAAGGACGCCTCCAGGGGTTATTCATGCTGCCGGTGCCCCCAGGCATGACGTCCTACCTGCAGCCTCTAGATTTATGGTGTTTTGGACCATATAAGAAATGGCTGGAGCGCGAAAACCGCCAGCAGCGAATTTGCCAAAATGGGTCCGTGTCTCTAGAGACTTGGTTTAGAACAATTTTCAAAGCGTGTACAGACTACTGGACGAATCGTCCCTTTTGGAAGGCCTTTGCACAGGCAGGCCTTCCCACATCCGAGCAAAGGTTGCATGGCAAGCTTGCCTCGCTGTTCCCGGAGGGAATTCCCAGTCTGGAGCAAGCTTTGTCTCAAGATGAATTTGCCCAGTTGTTGCCTAAAAGGCACGACTTGACCCGGACTTTTTCTGACTGGGTGGGCGGTCCCCGGCGAGAGGTGCCGGTGCTTTCCTAAACATCTTGAAGCATGCAGAGAAGACGTGCTGCCGCAAAAAATTGCAACTGTACAGGAACGACTTGTGCTCCTAGCGTATCAGCTGCTCCAAGCACTCTGATTTTGGCTCCTGCCATCAAGCAGTTGATTTGGCGCTTGCTGAGTTCTCTGCTTGGCTCCAGCAAACCCTGCCTTAAAACACCGTGCTGAAGGCATGGCAAACAACGAGGCTGGTCAACACTGTTTCACAGCACCCCTGCTGAAACAAAGCGCCCCGCCCGAGGCCGAGGTTGCGGGACCTGAGCTTCCACGAGAGCCCGACCGTGTGGAACTGCCCCAGGTAGCCATGCCAAAAAGCATCCACAGGAGCAGCTGCTCATTCGTATCTACGCAGGAGACGCTAAACGAACGCCTTGCTGCCTTAAAAGCTGCCAGGGCAGCTGCGAAGGCTCACAGCATGTGTGTCTTAGGAGGCTCAAGCTTTTTTTTTGTACAGCCTTATGTGCCTCTCCAGGTACAAGCCAAGCAGCTGAGCAAGGTGGTAAAGGCCGAAACAAAAAAGCTCAAAAAAGCGCGGGCGGTGGCACGAAAGCTGAGCGAGGCAGACTTGTTAGGGCTTCTTGTAGAGAAGAGGCAACCAGTTCTCTGAGAGTGGGAGCTGGAAGCTTCTAGAAACTGTTTTTTCGAAGAGTTGAGACTGGAAGCTTCTTTGGAAGCTTGCAGAAACTGTTTTTTCGAAGAGTGCGGCCTGGAGTTTGCAAGCGCAGCTTCTGGGGCTGGCGAAGGAAGGCGTGTCGTTACGGACACGTGCTGTGCCAAACAGGGCTTCGCAACGCTCTGCATGTCTGGTTGTGTTGTAGAGTTTCAAAAGGTTTAGGAGTATCGCCCAAAGTCTTCCAACTTGTGAGCGCCTGTGACGGCTGGAGGTGGGAGGGTAGGCTTTCTTGTAGGAGTGGCATCAGGCAAACCAGTCTCGATTCCGATGTAAAACTTGAAATTTTGAACTAAGGGCAGCAGACTTGTGAAACGCCCGCCAACATGGAGTTCAGACAGAGCACAGGCACAGATATGAGTTTTTCCATGTGCATGCTGCATGGGGCATCTCCGAAAAAACCCTTCTGCTTCCTAAGGGCTTGTACAGCAACAGTTGCGGCAGCAGCAAACCTGTACATGGGACATGTGCGTCGAGAGAGCAGCACTGCTAGGATGTAACGGCCTCTTTATACCAAAGCTATTGGCGGTGCTAACAGAAACTTACTTTCGGATGCTTCAGCCTTGCAGCATGCCATGGCCTCAGAATAAGACCGTCGTGAGAGAGGTGCTGTGAGCAGTCCAAGTCAGTACAAGAGGAACATTTCCCTTCAGATGATTGGTTAATGTGGCTGCGCGAAGTGTTGCCGCAATTGATTTCTGCCCAGTGCGAATGTCAAAGTCAGGAAATTCGAACAAGCGGGTAAACAGCGGAAGTTTGAGACTCTCAGGTCGGGCATGGCGATGATTTTTGGAGGTGCGCTGAGGCCGTCGTTGCCCTGGATGCTGCGAGAGCAATCGAAGTCAGCACGAGAGGAACACATCTAATACTCTTACTGCGGCTTGCTGAAAAGGCCATAACCACGAAGCTATCATCTGCTGGATTGGCGACGGAACTCCTCTGAGTCTTCAGGGTTTTCGGCGCTTCGGAAGTGGGAGGGCGTAGGTAGAGGGCTGGACTGTGTGCGCTGTTTTTTCCGCCTTCGCTGTCTGCTCTTTCTATCATTGAGATGCAGAAAGCCCAAACCCAGAGACTCCAAAACTTCTTAATTAAGGAATATGCAGTTTAAATTAGAACGGAAGCCTACTTAGATTTGAAGTCAATTCCTTAATTAAGGGGTTTGGAGTCTCTGGGCCTGGATGCTGCAAGAGCAATCGAAGTCAGCACGAGAGGAACACCTCTTATACTCTTACTGTGGCTGGCTGATAAGGCCATGACCACCAAGCTATCATCTGCTGGATTGGCGACGGAACTCCTCTCAGTCTTCAGGGTTTTCGGCGCTTCGGAAGTGGGCGGGGGTATTCACCCGCCAATAGGGAATCTGAGCTGGTTTAGGCCGCGTGAGACACGTTACCTGATGAACTAGATGCTGCGAGAGTAATCGGAGTCAGTAATTGGAAAGGTGAAGCAATGACCGTCGTGAGACAGGTTTATTTTTGGTCTGACAAACCCCAAACCTCCAAAGAGGAGGTGAGACAGGTTTAGTTTTACTTTTATAACCCTAAACCCTCAAAGAAAGCCCAAACGCAACAAGCACAAAAACCCGAAACTTTCTAAAAGCCGGGACTACAGGTCTCCTCTGCGATGTGTCCGAGCAAACAGGCCGAGCGAGATGTTGCGACAGTAATCGACTGTATGTTGGTTTGGACCGTTGTGAGACAGGTTTGCATGGATGAGCCAGATGTTGCGACAGTAATCTTTCTTTCGACCCCCCTTCCCCCCATACAATGGCCAAGCTTGGTGCAACAAGAGCGACACAGAATGCTGGGCTTGCTGCTCCAATTGCGGTATCTGCTTATTGTAACCTTTGTAATTCCCAAAAGCCCGGACCAAGGTCCGCGCTTGCTTTGCCGCGAAAACCGTGGTCCGCGGTAGGTTTCTCGGTTAAATGCTCGGGTCCGCGCAGGTCCGCGCCAGTTTGGTCGAGAAAACTAGTACACTTCTTAACCAAATGCTCAGCTCCCTGCAGGTCCGCGCTTGCTTTGCGCGAAAACTGTAGTCCGTGCAGGGTTTCCGCGAAAACCGTGGTCCGCGGTAGGTTTCTCGGTTAAATGCCCGGGTCCGCGCAGGTCCGCGCCAGTTTGGTCGAGAAAACTATGGTCTGTAGTAGACTTCTTAACCAAATGCTCAGCTCCGTGCGGGTCCGCGCTTGCTTTGCGCGAAAACTGTAGTGCGTGCAGAGCTTCTGGGCTAAATGCTCGTGTTCCCACGGTTGAGAAAACCGTGCGAACGGTTTCTGAGCTAAATGTTTGGGTCCGCGCAGGTCCGCCCCGGGTTTGCCAACAAAACCGCAGGTCCGCGCCGGTTTTGTCGAGAAAACCGTGCTAGGTTTCTGAGTTACATGCTTGCGCCCGCGCAGGTCCGCGCCGGGTTTGCCAAGAAAACCGTGCCAGGTTTCTGAGCTAAATGCTTGGGTTCGCGTCGGTTTTGCCAAGAAAACCGTGCCAGGTTTCTGAGCTAAATGTTTGGGTCCGCGCAGGTCCGCGCCGGGTTTGCCGAGAAAATCGTGCAAGGTTTCTAATCTAGCTGCTTGGGTCCGCGCAGGTCCGCGCCGGGTTTGCCGAGAAAACCGTGCTTGGCGCTGCGTTTCTGAGCTACATGTTGGGGTCCGTGCAAGTCCAGGGATTTGGCGAGACAGCCGTGGTCCTTAAAACGAACCTTTACAGACATTCCGGAGTTGGTGGGGTTTAGGATTGTCGCAGCAGAGCCACCAAATCCAGCTGCCTATTTCATTGCAAGCTGGCTTGTAATCTGTAATGTACGTCTTGTGAATGTTGTCATGTCTTGAGATGTGCCGCGCTGCCCGTCTTGACGGCCTCAGCTGCTCAACTGCTGCAGCCTACAGGCATAATCCAGGCCAAATTCTGCATTCTGCAGGTTCCCTTGACCTTGAAACAGCATTCAAGCCTAAATACTGCAACGAACTTACGAGCTCAGCAATTCTGCAGCAACAATGTCAGCAAAGCAGTGCCTCTCAGTCTGCGGAGATTCTGCATTGGTCTCAAGCCTCGCCTGTAGCACCCGTGCTTTATGCAATGCCAACTGAAGCTGTGTGACAGTTCCAGTGCAGGCATGGCACTGCATGGCAGAAACAGATGAGTCTTTGGAGGAAGCGCTCGCAAGGCTTGTGGCAGAGGCTCAGGTGGAAGACTTCCCGCTGTCATCCGAGCCAGGGCTGGAGACCAATCCAGATGATGCTGCACTTGTTCCGTTTCTTGAAGATTTGGACAGTGCTGTGAATCACAGCTCCAGTGTCGATGGTGTACAGCATCGCCAAGAGGACGAAGAGGATGCTGCGCTGCTTCCGTTCCTTGCAAGTCTTGCAGGTGAGGCAGGTGACACTGGTGTCACTGCGCCTGTGAGTGAGTCTGCTCCGGCGCCCGCTGCTCCGGCGCAAGAGCGGCGAAAGCGTCAACGAATCGATTGGCAACTTGTCCCCATAAACTTCCGCAGTAGGTTCTGTTGTTTGTCGTTGTGCTTTCTTTTGCGCATTTGCATTCGTTGCAAGCGTTTTTGCACCTATAAGTGGTAAAGCCTCATGCTTGCCACCAGGACTGCGAAGGCCGCAAGGCCTCCAACGCCGCGTAGCGTCAAAGAGGCTCTGGACCAACTGGGCCACCGTGACCGGACTGATGCACGAGATGCCTGGGTGTTCCGTTTCCTTGCCGCAGCACCGGACCTGAAGGCGAAGTTTTCGGACAGCAAAGCGGCTAAGGCAGCTTTACGGAAGTATTTCGCATCGAGTACGAGCGAAATGCTGCGGCACGAGTGGTATAAGCATTGGGTGGCGCCTGCGGCTTGCGGCAAGCCAGCTTTTCCTTCCACGGAGGTTGTTTTGGCATGGTGGCGACAGCATTCAGACTTGGACTTGCAGATCGTCGCTAGCAGCGCTCCTGGAAACCATGATGGTGACCCTGCGCCAGCAGATGGACACGAGGGAGGGTCTCGTGTGCATGGCTACATGTTGACCTGGCACGGCCGCTGGGGTTGTCGAAATCCGGAAGCCCAGGAACTCATGCAGATGAGTGCGACTACGCCTTCAGCTGTGTTAGTGCACTTAGTTTCTGGCAGCGCTTTTTACAAGTGGCTTTGGCAGCAGTTCAAAGTCATGGCGTTGGGCGCGTGCGAAAAGTTGGAATGGCCTCGGCACACATTGAAAATGGAGCTTTCATTGCGTAGACGTTGCCCCGAGAATCTGGTGCATTTCCACCTTGCAGTCACCGACTCCAATCGACGCCATAGGCTGAGCAATGAGAATGGCTTTTGGACGTTCATGGGTGCCCAGCCACATGTTCAGCCTGTTTTGGGAAAAGGGAGATATTTGACGAGGGCTCTTGATGCTGGCCACTATTACTGTCAGGCGCCGAAGATAGGCAGCGTGCACGTGGCTACCAACTACGTGGCGTATCGAGATTTTACAGTGGAACTCCAAACAATATTTAACTTGTGGCGACGCCACAAGCTTGAAGATTCTGTGGCGAAATCCGAGCTCATGACGGCACGTGGCCGCGGGACTCGCAACTACTTGGCCGAGATCCAGCATCATGAGGCGTGGCAACAGGCGCGACGGAATGCAGCGGTTAAGGCTTTGTTGGAAAGCTGGATGCCTTGGAAGCCGAGCCGTATCGTTCCTGCAGTTGCCGCTGCGTATGCATGCAGCATTTTGTCATGCCCATTTTTCCTAGGCCTGTTTCTGTGGTTGCGCTTGTGTTGAAGAATGCTTAAGCAAACCCACTTGCAGGTGGAATGGATGCAGCTCTTTGCAACAGTTGGCACGAGGGCACGCTTTCCTTTCCTGGTTCTTGTTGGCCCTAGCCAGTATGGAAAAACCGAGTACGCGAAGCGGCTCTGGGGCGCAGAGCGGACGCTGGTGCTTTCATGCGAGGGTATTCGACAACCGAATTTGAAGGGCTTTCAGCGACAAGTTCACAAATGCATAGTTTTCGACGAAGGCAATGAAGAGATGATTTTGTCGAACAGGCAGCTCTTTCAGGCAGGTTTGAACGAGTGCATGCTTGCGCAGTCCAACTGTCAAGAGCACTGTTACTCGGTGTGGCTGTATGGCATCGCTCTGGTGATTTCCACGAACACCTGGCTTGGCGAGGATCCATGGCTTGCGAAGAATGCAGTCGTCGTCCGCGTAGACGAGCCTCTCTGGCATGATGCGCCAGCGCTGTGCGCGTAAAAGAAGCAAATACCTTGACATTCCTGGCAATCCTGACCACAAGACTGGAACGTTGCAAATACATACGGGAATTTTACTCCAGAAACCCCAGGCCCTAAACCCGATCAGCTTGCGACGCCTGTGACAGTAGTGCTGCACGTGATAAGCTCAAAAATGTGCAGAAGATCCAGTCCTCGAGCAGGCTTTTGCTGCTTGGTCATGGATCTGTCGCAGCCTGAGGTGTGGGGGCGACGACAGTGCAGTGCGAGTGACAGCAGTGCTGCACGTGATAAGCAATATGCAGCACATCCAGGCATCTTTTTGCAGATGCTGTCTTTGGCGATGGACCTGTCGCGACCTGAAGTGATGCTGACTTGGGTGCCGATAGCAGAGCTGTGCAGGATCAGCTGAAGAAGTGTGCAGCAGATACAAGCCTCCAGCTACCGTTTTGCTGCTATTCTTGGCGAAGGATCCGTTGTGACCTGGGGTCGTGCTGACTTGGGTGGTGACAGTCGTGCCAGATCAGGTCCTCTGGGGGGGCTTCTCTACTAAGTGATGGATCTGTCGGAGCCTGAGTATGGGGGCGACGACAGTGCAGTGTAGGATCAGCTGCAGAACGTGCAGCACATCCAGGCGGCTTTTTGCAGATGCTGTCTTTCGCGATGGACCCTGTCGCGACCTGAAGTGATGCTGACTTGGCTGCCGATAGCAGAGCTGTGCAGGATCAGCTGAAGAAGTGTGCAGCAGATACAAGCCTCCAGCTGCGGTTTTGCTGCTATGCTTGGCGAAGGATCCGTTGTGACCTGGGGTCGTGCTGACTTGGGTGGTGACAGTCGTGCCAGATCAGGTCCTCTCGGGGGGCTTCTCTACTAAGTGATGGATCTGTCGGAGTCTGAGTTGGGGGCGACGACAGTGCAGTGTAGGATCAGCTGCAGAACGTGCAGCACATCCAGGCATCTTTTTGCAGATGCTGTCTTTCGCGATGGACCTGTCGCGACCTGAAGTGACGCTGACTTGGGTGCCGATAGCAGAGCTGTGCAGGATCAGCTGAAGAAGTGTGCAGCAGATGCAAGCCTCCAGCTGCGGTTTTGCTGCTATTCTTGGCGAAGGATCCGTTGTGACCTGGGGTCGTGCTGACTTGGGTGGTGACAGTCGTGCTGTACATCAGTTGAAGAGCGTGCAGAACATTCAAGCTCGGGCCACGGTTTTGCTGCTGTTCTTGGTAACGGATCTGTTGTTACCTGGGCGATAAGGATAGTACTGCCGTGCAACATCAGCTGAGGACTCAGGAATAAGCACGGCAGAGTGAGTGAGGGAGCGGGGTTGAGGGAGTCAGGGAGGGAGGGAGTGAGGGAGGGAGTGAGTTAGGGAGTGAGGGAGGGAGGGAGTGATTGAGGTACGGAGTGCAATTTGAGGGAGGAGTTGAGGGAGTGAGGGAGTGAGGGAGCGAGGGAGTGAGATGGAGTGAGGAAGCGCGGGAGGGAGTGAAGCAGGGAGTGAGGGAGGGAGTCAGGCAGGGAGTGAGGTGAGGGAGTGAGGGAGTGAGGGAGTGAGGGAGTGGCGGAGTGCGGGAGTGAGGGAGTGACGGAGTGAGGGAGTGAGGGAGTGCGGGAGTGAGGGAGTGACGGAGTGAGGGAGTGAGGGAGTGAGGGAGTGCGGGAGGGAGTGAGGCAGGGAGTGAGGGAGGGAGTCAGGCAGGGAGTGAGGTGAGGGAGTGAGGGAGTGAGGGAGTGCGGGAGTGAGGGAGTGACGGAGTGAGGGAGTGAGGGAGTGAGGGAGTGCGGGAGGGAGTGAGGCAGGGAGTGAGGGAGGGAGTCAGGCAGGGAGTGAGGTGAGGGAGTGAGGGAGTGGGGGAGTGCGGGAGTGAGGGAGTGACGGAGTGAGGGAGTGAGGGAGTGAGGGAGTGCGGGAGTGAGGGAGGGAGGGAGGGAGTGAATGAGGGAATGAGGGAGTGAGGGAATGAGGGAGTGAGGGAGGGAGGGAGGGAGCGAATCAGGGAATGAGGGAGTCAGGGAATGAATGAGTGGTTGACACGTTGATGCCGTCCGTATCTGCCGTATCGTGTTTCGCTAGTGGTTTCCATGATGTTCCATGCAAAAATGCAATATTTGTCAAGAAAGTGAGAGTTCGCGGGGCCACCAGCGACGGGCAGAGTTCGAAAAAAATGGTCTATCAAGTGTTTGACACGTTCAGTCCGTCCGTATTTGCCGTGTCGTTGTCCGCTAGTGATTCCCGTGCATAAATGCAAGATTGTCTAGAAAGTGAGAGTTCGCGGAGCCACCAGCCACAGTGCAGAGTTCGAAAAAAAGGGTGTATCAAGTGTTTGACACGTTTATGCCGTCCGTATCTGCCGTATCGTGTTTCGCTAGTGGTTTCCATGGTTTTCCATGCAAGACTGCAATATTTGGCAAGAAACTGAGAGTGGCGCAGCCACCAGGGACACTGCATGACAGTGCAGAGTTCGAAAAAAATGGTGTATGAAGTGTTTGACACATTCAGACCGTCCGCATCTGCCGTGTTGTATTTCGCTAGTACTTTCCGTGCCAAAATGCAATATTGTTTAGAAATTGAGAGTTCCCAGCAACCAGCCGCAGTGCAGAGTTCGAAAAAAATGGTGTATCAAGTGTTTGACACGTTGAGGCCGTCCGTATCTGCCGTGTTGTATTTCGGTAGTGCTTTCCATGCAAAAGAGCAAGATTGTCAAGAAACTGAGAGTGGCGCAGCCACCAGGGACAGTGCGGAGTTCGAAAAAAATGGTGTATGAAGTGTTTGACACATTCAGACCGTCCGCATCTGCCGTGTTGTATTTCGCTAGTGGTTTCCATGATTTTCCGTGCAAAATGCAATATTGTCTAGAAATTGAGAGTTCGCGCAGCAACCAGCCGCAGTGCAGAGTTCGAAAAAAATGGTGTATCAATTGTTTGACACGTTGAGGCCGTCCGTATCTGCCGTGTTGTATTTCGCTAGTGGTTTCCATGATTTTCCGTGCAAAAATGCAATATTGTCTAGAAATTGAGAGTTCGCGCAGCCACCAGCCGCAGTGCAGAGTTGGAAAAAAGGGTGTATGAAGTGTTTGACATATTCAGACCGTCCGCATCTGCCGTGTTGTATTCCGCTGGTGCTTTCCGTGCAAAGAAGGCAACATTGTCAAGAAACTGAGAGTGGCGCAGCCACCAGGGACAGTGCAGAGTTCGAAAAAAATGGTGTATGAAGTGTTTGACACATTCAGACCGTCCGCATCTGCCGTGTTGTATTTTGCTAGTACTTTCCGTGCAAAAATGCAATATTATCTAGAAATTGAGAGTTCGCGCAGCAACCAGCCGCAGTGCAGAGTTCGAAAAAAATGGTGTATCAAGTGTTTGACACGTTGAGGCCGTCCGTATCTGCCGTGTTGTATTTCGGTAGTGCTTTCCATGCAAAAAAGGCAAGATTGTCTAGAAATTGAGAGTTCGCGCAGCCACCAGCCGCAGTGCAGAGTTCGAAAAAAATGGTGTATCAATTGTTTGACACGGTGAGGCCGTCCGTATCTGCCGTGTTGTATTTCGCTAGTGGTTTCCATGATTTTCCGTGCAAAAATGCAATATTGTCTAGAAATTGAGAGTTCGCGCAGCCACCAGCCGCAGTGCAGAGTTCGAAAAAAATGGTGTATGAAGTGTTTGACACATTCAGACCGTCCGCATCTGCCGTGTTGTATTCCGCTAGTGCTTTCCGTGCAAAAAAGGCAACATTGTCTAGAAATTGAGAGTTATCGCAGCCACCAGCCGCAGTGCAGAGTTCGAAAAAAATGGTGTATCAAGTGTTTGACACGTGCAGGTTGTGAGTATCTTCTGGGGGAGCGCGGGAGGGAGGGAGGGAAGGAGGGAAGGAGGAGGAAAGGAGGGAACAGGGAGGGAGGGAAGGGAGGGAGGGAGGGAGCGAGGGAGGGAGGGAGGGAGGGGCGGGAAAGAGAGAGAGAGAGAGAGATTACTGAAAGTGACACTGAGAGCGAGAGTGAGAGTCAGAGTGCGAGTGCGAGTGCGGGTGAGAGTGAGGGTGAGAGTGAGTGTGCGCGTGAGTGTGAGCGAGAGGGAGAGAGAGTGCCCAGGTGATGGCGGGGTCGTCAAAGTCAGAGGCAGCCGCTTTTGAAGTGTAGTGCTCGTGACCGCTGCGGAGTCGTCAAAGTCAGAGGCAGCCGCTTTTGAAGTGTAGTGCTCGTGACCGCTGATCCTGTTTGTTTCCTGTTGGTCGAACCCACCCCTCCGGGGGGCGGGGCAGTGTGTCTTGCTGGCGCAGGGCTTGGGACCGCTTTATGGGGCTTGATTCCCACAGCAAGTGCTAGGAGGCCAAGTCGTGCCTGTAGAGTAAAAGCCAGCGGTGTTGAGACAGGCTATGCGATTGATTGCTTGTGCTGCATCATGCAGTTTTCCACAGCCACTAGCTGTTACTCGACATCCGTTTTCTCAGAGCAGAGGCGGTTTTGCGTTTGAAACATGGCTGCCGCAAATCCAACAGTGGAGCTGCAGCGGATCCGCCAGGAGGTTTCTTTTGGTAGGTAGGACGACATAGAACGGGAGCAGTTGTGCATTGTTGCACTTTCTGTCGTGTGATTTCCTTTGGAAGGTTGCATGTCTTCGAAGAAAGATTTCTTCGTTGTCACGGACGAGAAGAGCCGAGAAGCAGCGGGAAGCCAACATGGGCTTGAATCCCCGTCAAGTGTTTGTCTTATTGGCGATTTATGTACTTACTGGTGACCCAGCGGTGGCTCTCGAGTATATCAGCGCGAAGGCTGCGCGTGAACAGATGGAAGAGGCAGACGCAGAAGACAAGAAACGATATGTGGAAGAGCTGTACCTCAAAACAAGCTTGGAAGACATAGCATCGCTGCAGGATCCTTCTGGTTCGCGGCAGGGCATTTACAAGACTGCACAGCGTTGGATTGCCAGACGAAAAGCCAGAAACTTCGTGTGCAATATGAATGCGATTGGCGTGGCTCCAAGTTCAGAGCAAGTTGCAGAAGAATATCGCAAACAAAGTGCGTCCTTTGTACCAACTACCGATGCCCGTGGATTACGAGCCTGGAGCAGTCGCTTCCGTCGCAGTTTTGCCTTCCGGCTGGGCAAGATGAAAGCGGCCAAGCCAGTGGGAGATGTTTGTGCAAAGGCCGGGTGCTGGGTTCTCGAGACTTCCTGCACGCATAACACCGCACGCTTATGGTAGCTGCTTGCAGTGGATCGTTCTGCACTCATCTGCGTTTCGATACCTCCTAACCAGTGGCAGCATTTGGACCCGAGGATTGAGGGGCCGCATCGCTTTCGACTCCATGCGGGGATGTTTTTTGAGCTCATTTTTGGACCCTCTTTTTGGAGCTGCTTTCTAAGGCTAATTCGTGGAAGCACTTACAACCCCAAAACGAGGCTCCAAAATGAGGCCTCGTTCTGGCTCCACTTTTGGGGCCCAATTTGGGTTCAATTTCGGTGAGCCATTTCTCGTTGCAGGCCGTGCTCTTCTGGCGCCACGCTGCTTGGTTGGAACGCTCCAGCACGAAGCAGCCAGTCTACATCAATATAGATGAAACGGCTTTAGCCTATTCGTTCCATGCTGCGCCTGGCCTGATACAGCGGAAATTCCACGCAGAGGTTCAAATTAGACCTCAAGACGCACGTGGGTGCATCACCCACGTCGCTCTCGTCTCAAATGTCCTCGGTGTGCAAGCGTATTTGCCACAGATTTTAATATGTAACAAGCGTCGTCTCAGCAGAACCCTGGAGCAACAATTGCAAAGCGTTGTTCCCTCCACCGTGATGCTCTGTCGTGAGGATTCCTCATGGAATTCAGCACGACATATGGTCTCCTTGCTCACTCTCTTGGGTCAGCTCTTTCGCATCCGCTTCCCGCAATATCAGGCCATTGTTGTCTTCGACGCGGCCTCGTGCCATCTTTCTCCGGGCGTCATAAGAGAAGGACGCCTCCAGGGGTTATTCATGCTGCCGGTGCCCCCAGGCATGACGTCCTACCTGCAGCCTCTAGATTTATGGTGTTTTGGACCATATAAGAAATGGCTGGAGCGCGAAAACCGCCAGCAGCGAATTTGCCAAAATGGGTCCGTGTCTCTAGAGACTTGGTTTAGAACAATTTTCAAAGCGTGTACAGACTACTGGACGAATCGTCCCTTTTGGAAGGCCTTTGCACAGGCAGGCCTTCCCACATCCGAGCAAAGGTTGCATGGCAAGCTTGCCTCGCTGTTCCCGGAGGGAATTCCCAGTCTGGAGCAAGCTTTGTCTCAAGATGAATTTGCCCAGTTGTTGCCTAAAAGGCACGACTTGACCCGGACTTTTTCTGACTGGGTGGGCGGTCCCCGGCGAGAGGTGCCGGTGCTTTCCTAAACATCTTGAAGCATGCAGAGAAGACGTGCTGCCGCAAAAAATTGCAACTGTACAGGAACGACTTGTGCTCCTAGCGTATCAGCTGCTCCAAGCACTCTGATTTTGGCTCCTGCCATCAAGCAGTTGATTTGGCGCTTGCTGAGTTCTCTGCTTGGCTCCAGCAAACCCTGCCTTAAAACACCGTGCTGAAGGCATGGCAAACAACGAGGCTGGTCAACACTGTTTCACAGCACCCCTGCTGAAACAAAGCGCCCCGCCCGAGGCCGAGGTTGCGGGACCTGAGCTTCCACGAGAGCCCGACCGTGTGGAACTGCCCCAGGTAGCCATGCCAAAAAGCATCCACAGGAGCAGCTGCTCATTCGTATCTACGCAGGAGACGCTAAACGAACGCCTTGCTGCCTTAAAAGCTGCCAGGGCAGCTGCGAAGGCTCACAGCATGTGTGTCTTAGGAGGCTCAAGCTTTTTTTTTGTACAGCCTTATGTGCCTCTCCAGGTACAAGCCAAGCAGCTGAGCAAGGTGGTAAAGGCCGAAACAAAAAAGCTCAAAAAAGCGCGGGCGGTGGCACGAAAGCTGAGCGAGGCAGACTTGTTAGGGCTTCTTGTAGAGAAGAGGCAACCAGTTCTCTGAGAGTGGGAGCTGGAAGCTTCTAGAAACTGTTTTTTCGAAGAGTTGAGACTGGAAGCTTCTTTGGAAGCTTGCAGAAACTGTTTTTTCGAAGAGTGCGGCCTGGAGTTTGCAAGCGCAGCTTCTGGGGCTGGCGAAGGAAGGCGTGTCGTTACGGACACGTGCTGTGCCAAACAGGGCTTCGCAACGCTCTGCATGTCTGGTTGTGTTGTAGAGTTTCAAAAGGTTTAGGAGTATCGCCCAAAGTCTTCCAACTTGTGAGCGCCTGTGACGGCTGGAGGTGGGAGGGTAGGCTTTCTTGTAGGAGTGGCATCAGGCAAACCAGTCTCGATTCCGATGTAAAACTTGAAATTTTGAACTAAGGGCAGCAGACTTGTGAAACGCCCGCCAACATGGAGTTCAGACAGAGCACAGGCACAGATATGAGTTTTTCCATGTGCATGCTGCATGGGGCATCTCCGAAAAAACCCTTCTGCTTCCTAAGGGCTTGTACAGCAACAGTTGCGGCAGCAGCAAACCTGTGCATGGGACATGTGCGTCGAGAGAGCAGCACTGCTAGGATGTAACGGCCTCTTTATACCAAAGCTATTGGCGGTGCTAACAGAAACTTACTTTCGGATGCTTCAGCCTTGCAGCATGCCATGGCCTCAGAATAAGACCGTCGTGAGAGAGGTGCTGTGAGCAGTCCAAGTCAGTACAAGAGGAACATTTCCCTTCAGATGATTGGTTAATGTGGCTGCGCGAAGTGTTGCCGCAATTGATTTCTGCCCAGTGCGAATGTCAAAGTCAGGAAATTCGAACAAGCGGGTAAACAGCGGAAGTTTGAGACTCTCAGGTCGGGCATGGCGATGATTTTTGGAGGTGCGCTGAGGCCGTCGTTGCCCTGGATGCTGCGAGAGCAATCGAAGTCAGCACGAGAGGAACACATCTAATACTCTTACTGCGGCTTGCTGAAAAGGCCATAACCACGAAGCTATCATCTGCTGGATTGGCGACGGAACTCCTCTGAGTCTTCAGGGTTTTCGGCGCTTCGGAAGTGGGAGGGCGTAGGTAGAGGGCTGGACTGTGTGCGCTGTTTTTTCCGCCTTCGCTGTCTGCTCTTTCTATCATTGAGATGCAGAAAGCCCAAACCCAGAGACTCCAAAACTTCTTAATTAAGGAATATGCAGTTTAAATTAGAACGGAAGCCTACTTAGATTTGAAGTCAATTCCTTAATTAAGGGGTTTGGAGTCTCTGGGCCTGGATGCTGCAAGAGCAATCGAAGTCAGCACGAGAGGAACACCTCTTATACTCTTACTGTGGCTGGCTGATAAGGCCATGACCACCAAGCTATCATCTGCTGGATTGGCGACGGAACTCCTCTCAGTCTTCAGGGTTTTCGGCGCTTCGGAAGTGGGCGGGGGTATTCACCCGCCAATAGGGAATCTGAGCTGGTTTAGGCCGCGTGAGACACGTTACCTGATGAACTAGATGCTGCGAGAGTAATCGGAGTCAGTAATTGGAAAGGTGAAGCAATGACCGTCGTGAGACAGGTTTATTTTTGGTCTGACAAACCCCAAACCTCCAAAGAGGAGGTGAGACAGGTTTAGTTTTACTTTTATAACCCTAAACCCTCAAAGAAAGCCCAAACGCAACAAGCACAAAAACCCGAAACTTTCTAAAAGCCGGGACTACAGGTCTCCTCTGCGATGTGTCCGAGCAAACAGGCCGAGCGAGATGTTGCGACAGTAATCGACTGTATGTTGGTTTGGACCGTTGTGAGACAGGTTTGCATGGATGAGCCAGATGTTGCGACAGTAATCTTTCTTTCGACCCCCCTTCCCCCCATACAATGGCCAAGCTTGGTGCAACAAGAGCGACACAGAATGCTGGGCTTGCTGCTCCAATTGCGGTATCTGCTTATTGTAACCTTTGTAATTCCCAAAAGCCCGGACCAAGGTCCGCGCTTGCTTTGCCGCGAAAACCGTGGTCCGCGGTAGGTTTCTCGGTTAAATGCTCGGGTCCGCGCAGGTCCGCGCCAGTTTGGTCGAGAAAACTAGTACACTTCTTAACCAAATGCTCAGCTCCCTGCAGGTCCGCGCTTGCTTTGCGCGAAAACTGTAGTCCGTGCAGGGTTTCCGCGAAAACCGTGGTCCGCGGTAGGTTTCTCGGTTAAATGCCCGGGTCCGCGCAGGTCCGCGCCAGTTTGGTCGAGAAAACTATGGTCTGTAGTAGACTTCTTAACCAAATGCTCAGCTCCGTGCGGGTCCGCGCTTGCTTTGCGCGAAAACTGTAGTGCGTGCAGAGCTTCTGGGCTAAATGCTCGTGTTCCCACGGTTGAGAAAACCGTGCGAACGGTTTCTGAGCTAAATGTTTGGGTCCGCGCAGGTCCGCCCCGGGTTTGCCAACAAAACCGCAGGTCCGCGCCGGTTTTGTCGAGAAAACCGTGCTAGGTTTCTGAGTTACATGCTTGCGCCCGCGCAGGTCCGCGCCGGGTTTGCCAAGAAAACCGTGCCAGGTTTCTGAGCTAAATGCTTGGGTTCGCGTCGGTTTTGCCAAGAAAACCGTGCCAGGTTTCTGAGCTAAATGTTTGGGTCCGCGCAGGTCCGCGCCGGGTTTGCCGAGAAAATCGTGCAAGGTTTCTAATCTAGCTGCTTGGGTCCGCGCAGGTCCGCGCCGGGTTTGCCGAGAAAACCGTGCTTGGCGCTGCGTTTCTGAGCTACATGTTGGGGTCCGTGCAAGTCCAGGGATTTGGCGAGACAGCCGTGGTCCTTAAAACGAACCTTTACAGACATTCCGGAGTTGGTGGGGTTTAGGATTGTCGCAGCAGAGCCACCAAATCCAGCTGCCTATTTCATTGCAAGCTGGCTTGTAATCTGTAATGTACGTCTTGTGAATGTTGTCATGTCTTGAGATGTGCCGCGCTGCCCGTCTTGACGGCCTCAGCTGCTCAACTGCTGCAGCCTACAGGCATAATCCAGGCCAAATTCTGCATTCTGCAGGTTCCCTTGACCTTGAAACAGCATTCAAGCCTAAATACTGCAACGAACTTACGAGCTCAGCAATTCTGCAGCAACAATGTCAGCAAAGCAGTGCCTCTCAGTCTGCGGAGATTCTGCATTGGTCTCAAGCCTCGCCTGTAGCACCCGTGCTTTATGCAATGCCAACTGAAGCTGTGTGACAGTTCCAGTGCAGGCATGGCACTGCATGGCAGAAACAGATGAGTCTTTGGAGGAAGCGCTCGCAAGGCTTGTGGCAGAGGCTCAGGTGGAAGACTTCCCGCTGTCATCCGAGCCAGGGCTGGAGACCAATCCAGATGATGCTGCACTTGTTCCGTTTCTTGAAGATTTGGACAGTGCTGTGAATCACAGCTCCAGTGTCGATGGTGTACAGCATCGCCAAGAGGACGAAGAGGATGCTGCGCTGCTTCCGTTCCTTGCAAGTCTTGCAGGTGAGGCAGGTGACACTGGTGTCACTGCGCCTGTGAGTGAGTCTGCTCCGGCGCCCGCTGCTCCGGCGCAAGAGCGGCGAAAGCGTCAACGAATCGATTGGCAACTTGTCCCCATAAACTTCCGCAGTAGGTTCTGTTGTTTGTCGTTGTGCTTTCTTTTGCGCATTTGCATTCGTTGCAAGCGTTTTTGCACCTATAAGTGGTAAAGCCTCATGCTTGCCACCAGGACTGCGAAGGCCGCAAGGCCTCCAACGCCGCGTAGCGTCAAAGAGGCTCTGGACCAACTGGGCCACCGTGACCGGACTGATGCACGAGATGCCTGGGTGTTCCGTTTCCTTGCCGCAGCACCGGACCTGAAGGCGAAGTTTTCGGACAGCAAAGCGGCTAAGGCAGCTTTACGGAAGTATTTCGCATCGAGTACGAGCGAAATGCTGCGGCACGAGTGGTATAAGCATTGGGTGGCGCCTGCGGCTTGCGGCAAGCCAGCTTTTCCTTCCACGGAGGTTGTTTTGGCATGGTGGCGACAGCATTCAGACTTGGACTTGCAGATCGTCGCTAGCAGCGCTCCTGGAAACCATGATGGTGACCCTGCGCCAGCAGATGGACACGAGGGAGGGTCTCGTGTGCATGGCTACATGTTGACCTGGCACGGCCGCTGGGGTTGTCGAAATCCGGAAGCCCAGGAACTCATGCAGATGAGTGCGACTACGCCTTCAGCTGTGTTAGTGCACTTAGTTTCTGGCAGCGCTTTTTACAAGTGGCTTTGGCAGCAGTTCAAAGTCATGGCGTTGGGCGCGTGCGAAAAGTTGGAATGGCCTCGGCACACATTGAAAATGGAGCTTTCATTGCGTAGACGTTGCCCCGAGAATCTGGTGCATTTCCACCTTGCAGTCACCGACTCCAATCGACGCCATAGGCTGAGCAATGAGAATGGCTTTTGGACGTTCATGGGTGCCCAGCCACATGTTCAGCCTGTTTTGGGAAAAGGGAGATATTTGACGAGGGCTCTTGATGCTGGCCACTATTACTGTCAGGCGCCGAAGATAGGCAGCGTGCACGTGGCTACCAACTACGTGGCGTATCGAGATTTTACAGTGGAACTCCAAACAATATTTAACTTGTGGCGACGCCACAAGCTTGAAGATTCTGTGGCGAAATCCGAGCTCATGACGGCACGTGGCCGCGGGACTCGCAACTACTTGGCCGAGATCCAGCATCATGAGGCGTGGCAACAGGCGCGACGGAATGCAGCGGTTAAGGCTTTGTTGGAAAGCTGGATGCCTTGGAAGCCGAGCCGTATCGTTCCTGCAGTTGCCGCTGCGTATGCATGCAGCATTTTGTCATGCCCATTTTTCCTAGGCCTGTTTCTGTGGTTGCGCTTGTGTTGAAGAATGCTTAAGCAAACCCACTTGCAGGTGGAATGGATGCAGCTCTTTGCAACAGTTGGCACGAGGGCACGCTTTCCTTTCCTGGTTCTTGTTGGCCCTAGCCAGTATGGAAAAACCGAGTACGCGAAGCGGCTCTGGGGCGCAGAGCGGACGCTGGTGCTTTCATGCGAGGGTATTCGACAACCGAATTTGAAGGGCTTTCAGCGACAAGTTCACAAATGCATAGTTTTCGACGAAGGCAATGAAGAGATGATTTTGTCGAACAGGCAGCTCTTTCAGGCAGGTTTGAACGAGTGCATGCTTGCGCAGTCCAACTGTCAAGAGCACTGTTACTCGGTGTGGCTGTATGGCATCGCTCTGGTGATTTCCACGAACACCTGGCTTGGCGAGGATCCATGGCTTGCGAAGAATGCAGTCGTCGTCCGCGTAGACGAGCCTCTCTGGCATGATGCGCCAGCGCTGTGCGCGTAAAAGAAGCAAATACCTTGACATTCCTGGCAATCCTGACCACAAGACTGGAACGTTGCAAATACATACGGGAATTTTACTCCAGAAACCCCAGGCCCTAAACCCGATCAGCTTGCGACGCCTGTGACAGTAGTGCTGCACGTGATAAGCTCAAAAATGTGCAGAAGATCCAGTCCTCGAGCAGGCTTTTGCTGCTTGGTCATGGATCTGTCGCAGCCTGAGGTGTGGGGGCGACGACAGTGCAGTGCGAGTGACAGCAGTGCTGCACGTGATAAGCAATATGCAGCACATCCAGGCATCTTTTTGCAGATGCTGTCTTTGGCGATGGACCTGTCGCGACCTGAAGTGATGCTGACTTGGGTGCCGATAGCAGAGCTGTGCAGGATCAGCTGAAGAAGTGTGCAGCAGATACAAGCCTCCAGCTACCGTTTTGCTGCTATTCTTGGCGAAGGATCCGTTGTGACCTGGGGTCGTGCTGACTTGGGTGGTGACAGTCGTGCCAGATCAGGTCCTCTGGGGGGGCTTCTCTACTAAGTGATGGATCTGTCGGAGCCTGAGTATGGGGGCGACGACAGTGCAGTGTAGGATCAGCTGCAGAACGTGCAGCACATCCAGGCGGCTTTTTGCAGATGCTGTCTTTCGCGATGGACCCTGTCGCGACCTGAAGTGATGCTGACTTGGCTGCCGATAGCAGAGCTGTACAGGATCAGCTGAAGAAGTGTGCAGCAGATACAAGCCTCCAGCTGCGGTTTTGCTGCTATGCTTGGCGAAGGATCCGTTGTGACCTGGGGTCGTGCTGACTTGGGTGGTGACAGTCGTGCCAGATCAGGTCCTCTCGGGGGGCTTCTCTACTAAGTGATGGATCTGTCGGAGTCTGAGTTGGGGGCGACGACAGTGCAGTGTAGGATCAGCTGCAGAACGTGCAGCACATCCAGGCATCTTTTTGCAGATGCTGTCTTTCGCGATGGACCTGTCGCGACCTGAAGTGACGCTGACTTGGGTGCCGATAGCAGAGCTGTGCAGGATCAGCTGAAGAAGTGTGCAGCAGATGCAAGCCTCCAGCTGCGGTTTTGCTGCTATTCTTGGCGAAGGATCCGTTGTGACCTGGGGTCGTGCTGACTTGGGTGGTGACAGTCGTGCTGTACATCAGTTGAAGAGCGTGCAGAACATTCAAGCTCGGGCCACGGTTTTGCTGCTGTTCTTGGTAACGGATCTGTTGTTACCTGGGCGATAAGGATAGTACTGCCGTGCAACATCAGCTGAGGACTCAGGAATAAGCACGGCAGAGTGAGTGAGGGAGCGGGGTTGAGGGAGTCAGGGAGGGAGGGAGTGAGGGAGGGAGTGAGTTAGGGAGTGAGGGAGGGAGGGAGTGATTGAGGTACGGAGTGCAATTTGAGGGAGGAGTTGAGGGAGTGAGGGAGTGAGGGAGCGAGGGAGTGAGATGGAGTGAGGAAGCGCGGGAGGGAGTGAAGCAGGGAGTGAGGGAGGGAGTCAGGCAGGGAGTGAGGTGAGGGAGTGAGGGAGTGAGGGAGTGAGGGAGTGGCGGAGTGCGGGAGTGAGGGAGTGACGGAGTGAGGGAGTGAGGGAGTGCGGGAGTGAGGGAGTGACGGAGTGAGGGAGTGAGGGAGTGAGGGAGTGCGGGAGGGAGTGAGGCAGGGAGTGAGGGAGGGAGTCAGGCAGGGAGTGAGGTGAGGGAGTGAGGGAGTGAGGGAGTGGGGGAGTGCGGGAGTGAGGGAGTGACGGAGTGAGGGAGTGAGGGAGTGAGGGAGTGCGGGAGGGAGTGAGGCAGGGAGTGAGGGAGGGAGTCAGGCAGGGAGTGAGGTGAGGGAGTGAGGGAGTGGGGGAGTGCGGGAGTGAGGGAGTGACGGAGTGAGGGAGTGAGGGAGTGAGGGAGTGCGGGAGTGAGGGAGGGAGGGAGGGAGTGAATGAGGGAATGAGGGAGTGAGGGAATGAGGGAGTGAGGGAGGGAGGGAGGGAGCGAATCAGGGAATGAGGGAGTCAGGGAATGAATGAGTGGTTGACACGTTGATGCCGTCCGTATCTGCCGTATCGTGTTTCGCTAGTGGTTTCCATGATGTTCCATGCAAAAATGCAATATTTGTCAAGAAAGTGAGAGTTCGCGGGGCCACCAGCGACGGGCAGAGTTCGAAAAAAATGGTCTATCAAGTGTTTGACACGTTCAGTCCGTCCGTATTTGCCGTGTCGTTGTCCGCTAGTGATTCCCGTGCATAAATGCAAGATTGTCTAGAAAGTGAGAGTTCGCGGAGCCACCAGCCACAGTGCAGAGTTCGAAAAAAAGGGTGTATCAAGTGTTTGACACGTTTATGCCGTCCGTATCTGCCGTATCGTGTTTCGCTAGTGGTTTCCATGGTTTTCCATGCAAGACTGCAATATTTGGCAAGAAACTGAGAGTGGCGCAGCCACCAGGGACACTGCATGACAGTGCAGAGTTCGAAAAAAATGGTGTATGAAGTGTTTGACACATTCAGACCGTCCGCATCTGCCGTGTTGTATTTCGCTAGTACTTTCCGTGCCAAAATGCAATATTGTTTAGAAATTGAGAGTTCCCAGCAACCAGCCGCAGTGCAGAGTTCGAAAAAAATGGTGTATCAAGTGTTTGACACGTTGAGGCCGTCCGTATCTGCCGTGTTGTATTTCGGTAGTGCTTTCCATGCAAAAGAGCAAGATTGTCAAGAAACTGAGAGTGGCGCAGCCACCAGGGACAGTGCGGAGTTCGAAAAAAATGGTGTATGAAGTGTTTGACACATTCAGACCGTCCGCATCTGCCGTGTTGTATTTCGCTAGTGGTTTCCATGATTTTCCGTGCAAAATGCAATATTGTCTAGAAATTGAGAGTTCGCGCAGCAACCAGCCGCAGTGCAGAGTTCGAAAAAAATGGTGTATCAATTGTTTGACACGTTGAGGCCGTCCGTATCTGCCGTGTTGTATTTCGCTAGTGGTTTCCATGATTTTCCGTGCAAAAATGCAATATTGTCTAGAAATTGAGAGTTCGCGCAGCCACCAGCCGCAGTGCAGAGTTGGAAAAAAGGGTGTATGAAGTGTTTGACATATTCAGACCGTCCGCATCTGCCGTGTTGTATTCCGCTGGTGCTTTCCGTGCAAAGAAGGCAACATTGTCAAGAAACTGAGAGTGGCGCAGCCACCAGGGACAGTGCAGAGTTCGAAAAAAATGGTGTATGAAGTGTTTGACACATTCAGACCGTCCGCATCTGCCGTGTTGTATTTTGCTAGTACTTTCCGTGCAAAAATGCAATATTATCTAGAAATTGAGAGTTCGCGCAGCAACCAGCCGCAGTGCAGAGTTCGAAAAAAATGGTGTATCAAGTGTTTGACACGTTGAGGCCGTCCGTATCTGCCGTGTTGTATTTCGGTAGTGCTTTCCATGCAAAAAAGGCAAGATTGTCTAGAAATTGAGAGTTCGCGCAGCCACCAGCCGCAGTGCAGAGTTCAAAAAAATGGTGTATCAATTGTTTGACACGGTGAGGCCGTCCGTATCTGCCGTGTTGTATTTCGCTAGTGGTTTCCATGATTTTCCGTGCAAAAATGCAATATTGTCTAGAAATTGAGAGTTCGCGCAGCCACCAGCCGCAGTGCAGAGTTCGAAAAAAATGGTGTATGAAGTGTTTGACACATTCAGACCGTCCGCATCTGCCGTGTTGTATTCCGCTAGTGCTTTCCGTGCAAAAAAGGCAACATTGTCTAGAAATTGAGAGTTATCGCAGCCACCAGCCGCAGTGCAGAGTTCGAAAAAAATGGTGTATCAAGTGTTTGACACGTGCAGGTTGTGAGTATCTTCTGGGGGAGCGCGGGAGGGAGGGAGGGAAGGAGGGAAGGAGGAGGAAAGGAGGGAACAGGGAGGGAGGGAAGGGAGGGAGGGAGGGAGCGAGGGAGGGAGGGAGGGAGGGGCGGGAAAGAGAGAGAGAGAGAGAATTACTGAAAGTGACACTGAGAGCGAGAGTGAGAGTCAGAGTGCGAGTGCGAGTGCGGGTGAGAGTGAGGGTGAGAGTGAGTGTGCGCGTGAGTGTGAGCGAGAGGGAGAGAGAGTGCCCAGGTGATGGCGGGGTCGTCAAAGTCAGAGGCAGCCGCTTTTGAAGTGTAGTGCGCGTGACCGCTGCGGAGTCGTCAAAGTCAGAGGCAGCCGCTTTTGAAGTGTAGTGCTCGTGACCGCTGATCCTGTTTGTTTCCTGTTGGTCGAACCCACCCCTCCGGGGGGCGGGGCAGTGTGTCTTGCTGGCGCAGGGCTTGGGACCGCTTTATGGGGCTTGATTCCCACAGCAAGTGCTAGGAGGCCAAGTCGTGCCTGTAGAGTAAAAGCCAGCGGTGTTGAGACAGGCTATGCGATTGATTGCTTGTGCTGCATCATGCAGTTTTCCACAGCCACTAGCTGTTACTCGACATCCGTTTTCTCAGAGCAGAGGCGGTTTTGCGTTTGAAACATGGCTGCCGCAAATCCAACAGTGGAGCTGCAGCGGATCCGCCAGGAGGTTTCTTTTGGTAGGTAGGACGACATAGAACGGGAGCAGTTGTGCATTGTTGCACTTTCTGTCGTGTGATTTCCTTTGGAAGGTTGCATGTCTTCGAAGAAAGATTTCTTCGTTGTCACGGACGAGAAGAGCCGAGAAGCAGCGGGAAGCCAACATGGGCTTGAATCCCCGTCAAGTGTTTGTCTTATTGGCGATTTATGTACTTACTGGTGACCCAGCGGTGGCTCTCGAGTATATCAGCGCGAAGGCTGCGCGTGAACAGATGGAAGAGGCAGACGCAGAAGACAAGAAACGATATGTGGAAGAGCTGTACCTCAAAACAAGCTTGGAAGACATAGCATCGCTGCAGGATCCTTCTGGTTCGCGGCAGGGCATTTACAAGACTGCACAGCGTTGGATTGCCAGACGAAAAGCCAGAAACTTCGTGTGCAATATGAATGCGATTGGCGTGGCTCCAAGTTCAGAGCAAGTTGCAGAAGAATATCGCAAACAAAGTGCGTCCTTTGTGCCAACTACCGATGCCCGTGGATTACGAGCCTGGAGCAGTCGCTTCCGTCGCAGTTTTGCCTTCCGGCTGGGCAAGATGAAAGCGGCCAAGCCAGTGGGAGATGTTTGTGCAAAGGCCGGGTGCTGGGTTCTCGAGACTTCCTGCACGCATAACACCGCACGCTTATGGTAGCTGCTTGCAGTGGATCGTTCTGCACTCATCTGCGTTTCGATACCTCCTAACCAGCGGCAGCATTTGGACCCGAGGATTGAGGGGCCGCATCGCTTTCGACTCCATGCGGGGATGTTTTTTGAGCTCATTTTTGGACCCTCTTTTTGGAGCTGCTTTCTAAGGCTAATTCGTGGAAGCACTTACAACCCCAAAACGAGGCTCCAAAATGAGGCCTCGTTCTGGCTCCACTTTTGGGGCCCAATTTGGGTTCAATTTCGGTGAGCCATTTCTCGTTGCAGGCCGTGCTCTTCTGGCGCCACGCTGCTTGGTTGGAACGCTCCAGCACGAAGCAGCCAGTCTACATCAATATAGATGAAACGGCTTTAGCCTATTCGTTCCATGCTGCGCCTGGCCTGATACAGCGGAAATTCCACGCAGAGGTTCAAATTAGACCTCAAGACGCACGTGGGTGCATCACCCACGTCGCTCTCGTCTCAAATGTCCTCGGTGTGCAAGCGTATTTGCCACAGATTTTAATATGTAACAAGCGTCGTCTCAGCAGAACCCTGGAGCAACAATTGCAAAGCGTTGTTCCCTCCACCGTGATGCTCTGTCGTGAGGATTCCTCATGGAATTCAGCACGACATATGGTCTCCTTGCTCACTCTCTTGGGTCAGCTCTTTCGCATCCGCTTCCCGCAATATCAGGCCATTGTTGTCTTCGACGCGGCCTCGTGCCATCTTTCTCCGGGCGTCATAAGAGAAGGACGCCTCCAGGGGTTATTCATGCTGCCGGTGCCCCCAGGCATGACGTCCTACCTGCAGCCTCTAGATTTATGGTGTTTTGGACCATATAAGAAATGGCTGGAGCGCGAAAACCGCCAGCAGCGAATTTGCCAAAATGGGTCCGTGTCTCTAGAGACTTGGTTTAGAACAATTTTCAAAGCGTGTACAGACTACTGGACGAATCGTCCCTTTTGGAAGGCCTTTGCACAGGCAGGCCTTCCCACATCCGAGCAAAGGTTGCATGGCAAGCTTGCCTCGCTGTTCCCGGAGGGAATTCCCAGTCTGGAGCAAGCTTTGTCTCAAGATGAATTTGCCCAGTTGTTGCCTAAAAGGCACGACTTGACCCGGACTTTTTCTGACTGGGTGGGCGGTCCCCGGCGAGAGGTGCCGGTGCTTTCCTAAACATCTTGAAGCATGCAGAGAAGACGTGCTGCCGCAAAAAATTGCAACTGTACAGGAACGACTTGTGCTCCTAGCGTATCAGCTGCTCCAAGCACTCTGATTTTGGCTCCTGCCATCAAGCAGTTGATTTGGCGCTTGCTGAGTTCTCTGCTTGGCTCCAGCAAACCCTGCCTTAAAACACCGTGCTGAAGGCATGGCAAACAACGAGGCTGGTCAACACTGTTTCACAGCACCCCTGCTGAAACAAAGCGCCCCGCCCGAGGCCGAGGTTGCGGGACCTGAGCTTCCACGAGAGCCCGACCGTGTGGAACTGCCCCAGGTAGCCATGCCAAAAAGCATCCACAGGAGCAGCTGCTCATTCGTATCTACGCAGGAGACGCTAAACGAACGCCTTGCTGCCTTAAAAGCTGCCAGGGCAGCTGCGAAGGCTCACAGCATGTGTGTCTTAGGAGGCTCAAGCTTTTTTTTTGTACAGCCTTATGTGCCTCTCCAGGTACAAGCCAAGCAGCTGAGCAAGGTGGTAAAGGCCGAAACAAAAAAGCTCAAAAAAGCGCGGGCGGTGGCACGAAAGCTGAGCGAGGCAGACTTGTTAGGGCTTCTTGTAGAGAAGAGGCAACCAGTTCTCTGAGAGTGGGAGCTGGAAGCTTCTAGAAACTGTTTTTTCGAAGAGTTGAGACTGGAAGCTTCTTTGGAAGCTTGCAGAAACTGTTTTTTCGAAGAGTGCGGCCTGGAGTTTGCAAGCGCAGCTTCTGGGGCTGGCGAAGGAAGGCGTGTCGTTACGGACACGTGCTGTGCCAAACAGGGCTTCGCAACGCTCTGCATGTCTGGTTGTGTTGTAGAGTTTCAAAAGGTTTAGGAGTATCGCCCAAAGTCTTCCAACTTGTGAGCGCCTGTGACGGCTGGAGGTGGGAGGGTAGGCTTTCTTGTAGGAGTGGCATCAGGCAAACCAGTCTCGATTCCGATGTAAAACTTGAAATTTTGAACTAAGGGCAGCAGACTTGTGAAACGCCCGCCAACATGGAGTTCAGACAGAGCACAGGCACAGATATGAGTTTTTCCATGTGCATGCTGCATGGGGCATCTCCGAAAAAACCCTTCTGCTTCCTAAGGGCTTGTACAGCAACAGTTGCGGCAGCAGCAAACCTGTACATGGGACATGTGCGTCGAGAGAGCAGCACTGCTAGGATGTAACGGCCTCTTTATACCAAAGCTATTGGCGGTGCTAACAGAAACTTACTTTCGGATGCTTCAGCCTTGCAGCATGCCATGGCCTCAGAATAAGACCGTCGTGAGAGAGGTGCTGTGAGCAGTCCAAGTCAGTACAAGAGGAACATTTCCCTTCAGATGATTGGTTAATGTGGCTGCGCGAAGTGTTGCCGCAATTGATTTCTGCCCAGTGCGAATGTCAAAGTCAGGAAATTCGAACAAGCGGGTAAACAGCGGAAGTTTGAGACTCTCAGGTCGGGCATGGCGATGATTTTTGGAGGTGCGCTGAGGCCGTCGTTGCCCTGGATGCTGCGAGAGCAATCGAAGTCAGCACGAGAGGAACACATCTAATACTCTTACTGCGGCTTGCTGAAAAGGCCATAACCACGAAGCTATCATCTGCTGGATTGGCGACGGAACTCCTCTGAGTCTTCAGGGTTTTCGGCGCTTCGGAAGTGGGAGGGCGTAGGTAGAGGGCTGGACTGTGTGCGCTGTTTTTTCCGCCTTCGCTGTCTGCTCTTTCTATCATTGAGATGCAGAAAGCCCAAACCCAGAGACTCCAAAACTTCTTAATTAAGGAATATGCAGTTTAAATTAGAACGGAAGCCTACTTAGATTTGAAGTCAATTCCTTAATTAAGGGGTTTGGAGTCTCTGGGCCTGGATGCTGCAAGAGCAATCGAAGTCAGCACGAGAGGAACACCTCTTATACTCTTACTGTGGCTGGCTGATAAGGCCATGACCACCAAGCTATCATCTGCTGGATTGGCGACGGAACTCCTCTCAGTCTTCAGGGTTTTCGGCGCTTCGGAAGTGGGCGGGGGTATTCACCCGCCAATAGGGAATCTGAGCTGGTTTAGGCCGCGTGAGACACGTTACCTGATGAACTAGATGCTGCGAGAGTAATCGGAGTCAGTAATTGGAAAGGTGAAGCAATGACCGTCGTGAGACAGGTTTATTTTTGGTCTGACAAACCCCAAACCTCCAAAGAGGAGGTGAGACAGGTTTAGTTTTACTTTTATAACCCTAAACCCTCAAAGAAAGCCCAAACGCAACAAGCACAAAAACCCGAAACTTTCTAAAAGCCGGGACTACAGGTCTCCTCTGCGATGTGTCCGAGCAAACAGGCCGAGCGAGATGTTGCGACAGTAATCGACTGTATGTTGGTTTGGACCGTTGTGAGACAGGTTTGCATGGATGAGCCAGATGTTGCGACAGTAATCTTTCTTTCGACCCCCCTTCCCCCCATACAATGGCCAAGCTTGGTGCAACAAGAGCGACACAGAATGCTGGGCTTGCTGCTCCAATTGCGGTATCTGCTTATTGTAACCTTTGTAATTCCCAAAAGCCCGGACCAAGGTCCGCGCTTGCTTTGCCGCGAAAACCGTGGTCCGCGGTAGGTTTCTCGGTTAAATGCTCGGGTCCGCGCAGGTCCGCGCCAGTTTGGTCGAGAAAACTAGTACACTTCTTAACCAAATGCTCAGCTCCCTGCAGGTCCGCGCTTGCTTTGCGCGAAAACTGTAGTCCGTGCAGGGTTTCCGCGAAAACCGTGGTCCGCGGTAGGTTTCTCGGTTAAATGCCCGGGTCCGCGCAGGTCCGCGCCAGTTTGGTCGAGAAAACTATGGTCTGTAGTAGACTTCTTAACCAAATGCTCAGCTCCGTGCGGGTCCGCGCTTGCTTTGCGCGAAAACTGTAGTGCGTGCAGAGCTTCTGGGCTAAATGCTCGTGTTCCCACGGTTGAGAAAACCGTGCGAACGGTTTCTGAGCTAAATGTTTGGGTCCGCGCAGGTCCGCCCCGGGTTTGCCAACAAAACCGCAGGTCCGCGCCGGTTTTGTCGAGAAAACCGTGCTAGGTTTCTGAGTTACATGCTTGCGCCCGCGCAGGTCCGCGCCGGGTTTGCCAAGAAAACCGTGCCAGGTTTCTGAGCTAAATGCTTGGGTTCGCGTCGGTTTTGCCAAGAAAACCGTGCCAGGTTTCTGAGCTAAATGTTTGGGTCCGCGCAGGTCCGCGCCGGGTTTGCCGAGAAAATCGTGCAAGGTTTCTAATCTAGCTGCTTGGGTCCGCGCAGGTCCGCGCCGGGTTTGCCGAGAAAACCGTGCTTGGCGCTGCGTTTCTGAGCTACATGTTGGGGTCCGTGCAAGTCCAGGGATTTGGCGAGACAGCCGTGGTCCTTAAAACGAACCTTTACAGACATTCCGGAGTTGGTGGGGTTTAGGATTGTCGCAGCAGAGCCACCAAATCCAGCTGCCTATTTCATTGCAAGCTGGCTTGTAATCTGTAATGTACGTCTTGTGAATGTTGTCATGTCTTGAGATGTGCCGCGCTGCCCGTCTTGACGGCCTCAGCTGCTCAACTGCTGCAGCCTACAGGCATAATCCAGGCCAAATTCTGCATTCTGCAGGTTCCCTTGACCTTGAAACAGCATTCAAGCCTAAATACTGCAACGAACTTACGAGCTCAGCAATTCTGCAGCAACAATGTCAGCAAAGCAGTGCCTCTCAGTCTGCGGAGATTCTGCATTGGTCTCAAGCCTCGCCTGTAGCACCCGTGCTTTATGCAATGCCAACTGAAGCTGTGTGACAGTTCCAGTGCAGGCATGGCACTGCATGGCAGAAACAGATGAGTCTTTGGAGGAAGCGCTCGCAAGGCTTGTGGCAGAGGCTCAGGTGGAAGACTTCCCGCTGTCATCCGAGCCAGGGCTGGAGACCAATCCAGATGATGCTGCACTTGTTCCGTTTCTTGAAGATTTGGACAGTGCTGTGAATCACAGCTCCAGTGTCGATGGTGTACAGCATCGCCAAGAGGACGAAGAGGATGCTGCGCTGCTTCCGTTCCTTGCAAGTCTTGCAGGTGAGGCAGGTGACACTGGTGTCACTGCGCCTGTGAGTGAGTCTGCTCCGGCGCCCGCTGCTCCGGCGCAAGAGCGGCGAAAGCGTCAACGAATCGATTGGCAACTTGTCCCCATAAACTTCCGCAGTAGGTTCTGTTGTTTGTCGTTGTGCTTTCTTTTGCGCATTTGCATTCGTTGCAAGCGTTTTTGCACCTATAAGTGGTAAAGCCTCATGCTTGCCACCAGGACTGCGAAGGCCGCAAGGCCTCCAACGCCGCGTAGCGTCAAAGAGGCTCTGGACCAACTGGGCCACCGTGACCGGACTGATGCACGAGATGCCTGGGTGTTCCGTTTCCTTGCCGCAGCACCGGACCTGAAGGCGAAGTTTTCGGACAGCAAAGCGGCTAAGGCAGCTTTACGGAAGTATTTCGCATCGAGTACGAGCGAAATGCTGCGGCACGAGTGGTATAAGCATTGGGTGGCGCCTGCGGCTTGCGGCAAGCCAGCTTTTCCTTCCACGGAGGTTGTTTTGGCATGGTGGCGACAGCATTCAGACTTGGACTTGCAGATCGTCGCTAGCAGCGCTCCTGGAAACCATGATGGTGACCCTGCGCCAGCAGATGGACACGAGGGAGGGTCTCGTGTGCATGGCTACATGTTGACCTGGCACGGCCGCTGGGGTTGTCGAAATCCGGAAGCCCAGGAACTCATGCAGATGAGTGCGACTACGCCTTCAGCTGTGTTAGTGCACTTAGTTTCTGGCAGCGCTTTTTACAAGTGGCTTTGGCAGCAGTTCAAAGTCATGGCGTTGGGCGCGTGCGAAAAGTTGGAATGGCCTCGGCACACATTGAAAATGGAGCTTTCATTGCGTAGACGTTGCCCCGAGAATCTGGTGCATTTCCACCTTGCAGTCACCGACTCCAATCGACGCCATAGGCTGAGCAATGAGAATGGCTTTTGGACGTTCATGGGTGCCCAGCCACATGTTCAGCCTGTTTTGGGAAAAGGGAGATATTTGACGAGGGCTCTTGATGCTGGCCACTATTACTGTCAGGCGCCGAAGATAGGCAGCGTGCACGTGGCTACCAACTACGTGGCGTATCGAGATTTTACAGTGGAACTCCAAACAATATTTAACTTGTGGCGACGCCACAAGCTTGAAGATTCTGTGGCGAAATCCGAGCTCATGACGGCACGTGGCCGCGGGACTCGCAACTACTTGGCCGAGATCCAGCATCATGAGGCGTGGCAACAGGCGCGACGGAATGCAGCGGTTAAGGCTTTGTTGGAAAGCTGGATGCCTTGGAAGCCGAGCCGTATCGTTCCTGCAGTTGCCGCTGCGTATGCATGCAGCATTTTGTCATGCCCATTTTTCCTAGGCCTGTTTCTGTGGTTGCGCTTGTGTTGAAGAATGCTTAAGCAAACCCACTTGCAGGTGGAATGGATGCAGCTCTTTGCAACAGTTGGCACGAGGGCACGCTTTCCTTTCCTGGTTCTTGTTGGCCCTAGCCAGTATGGAAAAACCGAGTACGCGAAGCGGCTCTGGGGCGCAGAGCGGACGCTGGTGCTTTCATGCGAGGGTATTCGACAACCGAATTTGAAGGGCTTTCAGCGACAAGTTCACAAATGCATAGTTTTCGACGAAGGCAATGAAGAGATGATTTTGTCGAACAGGCAGCTCTTTCAGGCAGGTTTGAACGAGTGCATGCTTGCGCAGTCCAACTGTCAAGAGCACTGTTACTCGGTGTGGCTGTATGGCATCGCTCTGGTGATTTCCACGAACACCTGGCTTGGCGAGGATCCATGGCTTGCGAAGAATGCAGTCGTCGTCCGCGTAGACGAGCCTCTCTGGCATGATGCGCCAGCGCTGTGCGCGTAAAAGAAGCAAATACCTTGACATTCCTGGCAATCCTGACCACAAGACTGGAACGTTGCAAATACATACGGGAATTTTACTCCAGAAACCCCAGGCCCTAAACCCGATCAGCTTGCGACGCCTGTGACAGTAGTGCTGCACGTGATAAGCTCAAAAATGTGCAGAAGATCCAGTCCTCGAGCAGGCTTTTGCTGCTTGGTCATGGATCTGTCGCAGCCTGAGGTGTGGGGGCGACGACAGTGCAGTGCGAGTGACAGCAGTGCTGCACGTGATAAGCAATATGCAGCACATCCAGGCATCTTTTTGCAGATGCTGTCTTTGGCGATGGACCTGTCGCGACCTGAAGTGATGCTGACTTGGGTGCCGATAGCAGAGCTGTGCAGGATCAGCTGAAGAAGTGTGCAGCAGATACAAGCCTCCAGCTACCGTTTTGCTGCTATTCTTGGCGAAGGATCCGTTGTGACCTGGGGTCGTGCTGACTTGGGTGGTGACAGTCGTGCCAGATCAGGTCCTCTGGGGGGGCTTCTCTACTAAGTGATGGATCTGTCGGAGCCTGAGTATGGGGGCGACGACAGTGCAGTGTAGGATCAGCTGCAGAACGTGCAGCACATCCAGGCGGCTTTTTGCAGATGCTGTCTTTCGCGATGGACCCTGTCGCGACCTGAAGTGATGCTGACTTGGCTGCCGATAGCAGAGCTGTACAGGATCAGCTGAAGAAGTGTGCAGCAGATACAAGCCTCCAGCTGCGGTTTTGCTGCTATGCTTGGCGAAGGATCCGTTGTGACCTGGGGTCGTGCTGACTTGGGTGGTGACAGTCGTGCCAGATCAGGTCCTCTCGGGGGGCTTCTCTACTAAGTGATGGATCTGTCGGAGTCTGAGTTGGGGGCGACGACAGTGCAGTGTAGGATCAGCTGCAGAACGTGCAGCACATCCAGGCATCTTTTTGCAGATGCTGTCTTTCGCGATGGACCTGTCGCGACCTGAAGTGACGCTGACTTGGGTGCCGATAGCAGAGCTGTGCAGGATCAGCTGAAGAAGTGTGCAGCAGATGCAAGCCTCCAGCTGCGGTTTTGCTGCTATTCTTGGCGAAGGATCCGTTGTGACCTGGGGTCGTGCTGACTTGGGTGGTGACAGTCGTGCTGTACATCAGTTGAAGAGCGTGCAGAACATTCAAGCTCGGGCCACGGTTTTGCTGCTGTTCTTGGTAACGGATCTGTTGTTACCTGGGCGATAAGGATAGTACTGCCGTGCAACATCAGCTGAGGACTCAGGAATAAGCACGGCAGAGTGAGTGAGGGAGCGGGGTTGAGGGAGTCAGGGAGGGAGGGAGTGAGGGAGGGAGTGAGTTAGGGAGTGAGGGAGGGAGGGAGTGATTGAGGTACGGAGTGCAATTTGAGGGAGGAGTTGAGGGAGTGAGGGAGTGAGGGAGCGAGGGAGTGAGATGGAGTGAGGAAGCGCGGGAGGGAGTGAAGCAGGGAGTGAGGGAGGGAGTCAGGCAGGGAGTGAGGTGAGGGAGTGAGGGAGTGAGGGAGTGAGGGAGTGGCGGAGTGCGGGAGTGAGGGAGTGACGGAGTGAGGGAGTGAGGGAGTGCGGGAGTGAGGGAGTGACGGAGTGAGGGAGTGAGGGAGTGAGGGAGTGCGGGAGGGAGTGAGGCAGGGAGTGAGGGAGGGAGTCAGGCAGGGAGTGAGGTGAGGGAGTGAGGGAGTGAGGGAGTGGGGGAGTGCGGGAGTGAGGGAGTGACGGAGTGAGGGAGTGAGGGAGTGAGGGAGTGCGGGAGGGAGTGAGGCAGGGAGTGAGGGAGGGAGTCAGGCAGGGAGTGAGGTGAGGGAGTGAGGGAGTGGGGGAGTGCGGGAGTGAGGGAGTGACGGAGTGAGGGAGTGAGGGAGTGAGGGAGTGCGGGAGTGAGGGAGGGAGGGAGGGAGTGAATGAGGGAATGAGGGAGTGAGGGAATGAGGGAGTGAGGGAGGGAGGGAGGGAGCGAATCAGGGAATGAGGGAGTCAGGGAATGAATGAGTGGTTGACACGTTGATGCCGTCCGTATCTGCCGTATCGTGTTTCGCTAGTGGTTTCCATGATGTTCCATGCAAAAATGCAATATTTGTCAAGAAAGTGAGAGTTCGCGGGGCCACCAGCGACGGGCAGAGTTCGAAAAAAATGGTCTATCAAGTGTTTGACACGTTCAGTCCGTCCGTATTTGCCGTGTCGTTGTCCGCTAGTGATTCCCGTGCATAAATGCAAGATTGTCTAGAAAGTGAGAGTTCGCGGAGCCACCAGCCACAGTGCAGAGTTCGAAAAAAAGGGTGTATCAAGTGTTTGACACGTTTATGCCGTCCGTATCTGCCGTATCGTGTTTCGCTAGTGGTTTCCATGGTTTTCCATGCAAGACTGCAATATTTGGCAAGAAACTGAGAGTGGCGCAGCCACCAGGGACACTGCATGACAGTGCAGAGTTCGAAAAAAATGGTGTATGAAGTGTTTGACACATTCAGACCGTCCGCATCTGCCGTGTTGTATTTCGCTAGTACTTTCCGTGCCAAAATGCAATATTGTTTAGAAATTGAGAGTTCCCAGCAACCAGCCGCAGTGCAGAGTTCGAAAAAAATGGTGTATCAAGTGTTTGACACGTTGAGGCCGTCCGTATCTGCCGTGTTGTATTTCGGTAGTGCTTTCCATGCAAAAGAGCAAGATTGTCAAGAAACTGAGAGTGGCGCAGCCACCAGGGACAGTGCGGAGTTCGAAAAAAATGGTGTATGAAGTGTTTGACACATTCAGACCGTCCGCATCTGCCGTGTTGTATTTCGCTAGTGGTTTCCATGATTTTCCGTGCAAAATGCAATATTGTCTAGAAATTGAGAGTTCGCGCAGCAACCAGCCGCAGTGCAGAGTTCGAAAAAAATGGTGTATCAATTGTTTGACACGTTGAGGCCGTCCGTATCTGCCGTGTTGTATTTCGCTAGTGGTTTCCATGATTTTCCGTGCAAAAATGCAATATTGTCTAGAAATTGAGAGTTCGCGCAGCCACCAGCCGCAGTGCAGAGTTGGAAAAAAGGGTGTATGAAGTGTTTGACATATTCAGACCGTCCGCATCTGCCGTGTTGTATTCCGCTGGTGCTTTCCGTGCAAAGAAGGCAACATTGTCAAGAAACTGAGAGTGGCGCAGCCACCAGGGACAGTGCAGAGTTCGAAAAAAATGGTGTATGAAGTGTTTGACACATTCAGACCGTCCGCATCTGCTGTGTTGTATTTTGCTAGTACTTTCCGTGCAAAAATGCAATATTATCTAGAAATTGAGAGTTCGCGCAGCAACCAGCCGCAGTGCAGAGTTCGAAAAAAATGGTGTATCAAGTGTTTGACACGTTGAGGCCGTCCGTATCTGCCGTGTTGTATTTCGGTAGTGCTTTCCATGCAAAAAAGGCAAGATTGTCTAGAAATTGAGAGTTCGCGCAGCCACCAGCCGCAGTGCAGAGTTCAAAAAAATGGTGTATCAATTGTTTGACACGGTGAGGCCGTCCGTATCTGCCGTGTTGTATTTCGCTAGTGGTTTCCATGATTTTCCGTGCAAAAATGCAATATTGTCTAGAAATTGAGAGTTCGCGCAGCCACCAGCCGCAGTGCAGAGTTCGAAAAAAATGGTGTATGAAGTGTTTGACACATTCAGACCGTCCGCATCTGCCGTGTTGTATTCCGCTAGTGCTTTCCGTGCAAAAAAGGCAACATTGTCTAGAAATTGAGAGTTATCGCAGCCACCAGCCGCAGTGCAGAGTTCGAAAAAAATGGTGTATCAAGTGTTTGACACGTGCAGGTTGGGAGTATCTTCTGGGGGAGCGCGGGAGGGAGGGAGGGAAGGAGGGAAGGAGGAGGAAAGGAGGGAACAGGGAGGGAGGGAAGGGAGGCAGGGAGGGAGCGAGGGAGGGAGGGAGGGAGGGGCGGGAAAGAGAGAGAGAGAGAGAATTACTGAAAGTGACACTGAGAGCGAGAGTGAGAGTCAGAGTGCGAGTGCGAGTGCGGGTGAGAGTGAGGGTGAGAGTGAGTGTGCGCGGGAGTGTGAGCGAGAGGGAGAGAGAGTGCCCAGGTGATGGCGGGGTCGTCAAAGTCAGAGGCAGCCGCTTTTGAAGTGTAGTGCTCGTGACCGCTGCGGAGTCGTCAAAGTCAGAGGCAGCCGCTTTTGAAGTGTAGTGCTCGTGACCGCTGATCCTGATTGTTTCCTGTTGGTCGAACCCACCCCTCCGGGGGGCGGGGCAGTGTGTCTTGCTGGCGCAGGGCTTGGGACCGCTTTATGGGGCTTGATTCCCACAGCAAGTGCTAGGAGGCCAAGTCGTGCCTGTAGAGTACTGCTGCATCACGACAACCACTATGCTCATTTACAACTTCAACAAGCTTTCGAGTACTCGCAGCCTTGTTTCCGACAAGTCAGCAGGCAAGCACACACCACTCCTGGAACCGCTGCCATCGTTGCTTGGGCAACTTCAATACCCCTGCTGCGACAGGCTAAGTACGATCTCAGCTTGCTTAAGACACGCCAGAGCTACCTGGACCGCATAGCTAGCAAGGAGTTTGACGCGGCTGCTGTCGCCGCCCTGCGCGAGCTTCTCCAGAGCGCCGTGGGCAAACTTCAAGGGACACGCCCTGTGACGCTAACCCCGGCAGAGAGGGGCCGCTAATCCTAGGCAACATTTTCGCCACTCCAGCTTCGAGGTCGCTACACTCGTGGCCGACGGCTGTGCTCCTTTTTTGGCCGTGGAACAACCAGAGGACCTGGGCGCCTTCGCTAAGGGCCCCCACCAGGGCGCACGGCCAGCCTCCATGTGGCAGTAGCCGCCGCTTAGCCGACCTCCTGCAAAAGGGGCTACGGACGGTGGCCTTCCACCAGGCTAGCTTCGGCACGCCGTAGGCTAAGCCGACCCGGCTGCTACTGAATTTCCTTTATATGTGGACAGGTGGTGCCCCAATAAGGATTCTTCCTGTCTCCTCCCTTTTTCACCCCATATATGTGGATAGTCGGTGCTCCAATAGGAGCCGCCTTCTATTCACGATATTCATATAAGCATCATATATTCTCGTTCACATAAGCGGGCATCGATGTGAGCGGGAACTGGTGATTGCACGGAAGCTGGCTCAGTCAGTCCATGCGAGATTCGTGAGACTCAAGACCTGCAGACTATAGCCTTTTGCCAGATTCCTGCACTTTCCATAAAAATAAGTTGTCGTAGAGGAGGAGAATCCTTGCGCCGATCCTGCACAAGTGTCTCTATCCCCCGAGGAAGATGTGGCTCGCTTGCAAATTAACTCAAGGACAGATCGAGGAGCACAGCATGCACGGTGTGGCCCAGCTAGACTGTAGGTGGTGAAGACAATAACGTTGGCTCTCAAGCCAATTCTACGTCCTTTGAAAAGCTCTCAGCTCAGAACATTTCGTGCTTACGCTGAGATCCAGTGATGTATTCCGTGCTCTGTACATAAATACGGTGAGGTGTTGGGCAAATGTGGCCGAACGCTATGAGATTCGCCCACCCGAAGAGCTCGTTGCCCACAGACTGGATCGAACACGAGGGCTTCTCCGTCCTCGACAGTGTGCTGGAATCCCTCCGTCCCTTGGATATATTGTTGGTTTCGTACGTCTTGTTCCCTGGTCGAGATATGTTGTGCTGTTGAATTGGCCTTCCGAGGATATGTGGTGGTGAACCAGGTTCCTGCCCCCCGAGTTTTCGAAGTCGCAGTGCCTTGAAATCAAATTTCATATATATATATATATATATACACACATATATATAGATATATGCAAGCTCAGTAGAACAAAGCCCCGCTGATCAAAGCAAGGTGGACAATGCGGCTTCGGGGAAATTGCCGGAGATGGATCGCAAAGTTATAGCCGGCCTTCTGAAGAAAGGCTGTGCAAAAGTACGCCGGCTGCGAGCAAAGACAGAGTGGCTAGGCCATACACAGTGTCATGGTCATACGCGACCTTTCAAAGTATCAGTCTACATAAGCCCAGCTAGGTCTTCGCATAACGAACGACTGGATCGATTGAAAGCGAAGTGTCCAGCTGCATTAGTGCATATCAACATGCCGAGATTTGTGGTCGTTTGGCCTGATCTTTTCTCCGTCCGAGGATGGATGGTTGGCTGCAGAAGAAAAAGAAGCCTAAGACGGGCCGCAATAAGGTTGGCGAAGAGATCGATGCTATGCTTGACGAGATTGATAATGAAGCTCCGCCTGACTGGGATGAGATTGAAGAGTTGTTGGCTTCTCCAGAGCCAGAGCCGCCAGAGCCATCGTGGCTCACATAAATTTATTGTTGCATGTGTGCGGGCATGCTAGATTTTGTCATGTGCCCATTACTGAACCGTAGGTGCTGTGTAATTTCTGCATCTCAGGAGCTCTTCAGCACCTGCAACGAGGTCGCTTGGATTCGCAAACGGTCTCCAGCTGAAAACTCGCAGCACGCACACGGAAACTGATTCGGAACCATTTAAGGAACAAAAAGCTGGAGGAGCAGTTTGGTGACTTGAGCCGTTTTACGGCTGAGGAGGTTGAGGACCTGATGGGATGCTTGAGTTCTCCAGAGATGATTGATGCCAGTCCGCCACGACAGCCCCGACGTTCGGCTTTGAAACCTCGACCGAAGTGGAAGTCCAAGGAGCCGCAGTCTAGCGATCCTGCAGATCGTGAGCCCGAGGCGGGCGATGGAGATCGTGAGCCCAAGGCGGGCGATGGAGATCGTGGGCCCAATGCGGGCGATGGACATCGTGAGCCCAATGCGGGCGATGGAGATCGTGAGTCCGGAGATCGCGATCCGCCTGGAGATCCGATAAATCGGCCGAATATTGGTTGCAATTATTTAGCGGTCTTGTTGCAAATTTGTGGAAGTTTTCTGGGATAATATATCCATTGAGGCAGTCGGTGCCGAGCTCGTCTTCATGTACTACAGCTCGGGAGGTTCTTGGCGATAGTTGGGTTCAGGAAAAGGCTTCCTGCTCTTTGGTGGTATGAATCCAACTCAGGCTGCCCAGCAGAAGTACGCAGAGGCTCATTTGAAGATCTTTGGGTCCGTCTGGGGCTAAGCATGCCTAATACTCAGAAATATCGAGTAGCATCATATGGTTTCAATTTTCCATAAGCCAAGGATGCCATCACGTTGGATGATAGTTCCAGTGAAACCGATCTGGCTACGATGGAAGCTTTAAAGGAGCAGAGAAATTTTGTGCATCCAGATGCCGTTGCCGCCGACCCTCTTCTCAATAGATTGCAACATCTGCTGGGTGTGCATTCTTTAGTGTTTGTCCCAACCTAGGAAAAGGAGGAGCAAGGATTGGATACTTCCAAGGGCAATGCCAAGAAAAGGGCCAGCGGGGACACGATTCCGGCTGATGAGGAGGATAAGAAGAAGAAAAAAGGAAAGAAGGCTCCGGAGGAGCCCAACAAGACTTTCGCCGGTCGCCCGCCGCCGAGAACCACGCCGTTTCTCTGGAGATTTCATTTTGCTGCTCAAGCTTTCCAGGAGTGTCCTGCTTGATTTTAATCTAACACATTCATTGCACGGCCCTCGTGAGCTACTGAAAGCCTTCCGTGCTGACCTAACCGTCTAAGGCATTTGTCCGGAAAAGTCGCGATGGCGAAAGACAAAGCCGAGCGAAAGTTCCTGGCATATGTGTCCGAGCAGGGCCTCAGCACGATGACTGATCAGACAGAAATTGAAATCTTCTGTCACGATATGGCAGTGGCATTTCTGCTGCACGACGCCGGGCCGAGTTCGTACCCGTACCAGTCGAGACAGGATTTAGGGGCAAGGCTTTAAGGTCAAGGCATCTCGGAGGTTATGTGTCGATATGTGGGTGGGTCTGAAGTATGAGACTGGGGTGGTCTGATATATTAAGGGTAGGGTTCAATATTCTGATATAACTTAGGTAATCATCACAGCCCGGAAGTAGGTGTCATATGTTTTTAAAACCCCCTTTCGCAACCGAAAACAATCAAAACCTTTCGCTTAAACTTAACCCTAAGTTCTACTTCCCTGCAGGTCCCGGACATGTGAGTCGTGGCTCGCCTTTTTTTACACGTGCCTTCCGGTGCAGACGATCGATGCAGACGATCCGTTGGCTCCCAGTAATATGTAGTGTAAAGATATTACCTAGGCTGCACTAGCTGCTATATGGTTCAAAGTCCGCTCCAGCTGGGTCGCCCTCTGATCGAGCTATAGCTGGGACAGACGGATACATGCTACTGCGAGCAAACAGCTGCACGCACAGTGCCACTCATAATATATTGCGATTGGCTGTATGGACACTATGTAACGGTACGGTACATAAGCTGTGCAGCCGGTGGCAGGTACAGCTTCAGCATCCTCAGCTCGCAAGCGATCCTGCGAGAGCGATGACAGAGGTGTGCCCCGCATGCCACTGCACTGCTGTTGATCCTGCTAGAGCTGACTCAGATGCTCATGTGCAGTCGAAACCTTGCATGCAAACCCCTGTCTTTCGCAGGCCTTCACGCCGAGATAGGCATAGGAGCTGATGGTTTGACCTTATAGAGCATAGGTTGACGATAAAGGGATATCAAAAACTAGATCCAAGACTCCGTCTGGAGTGCAATTGGGACATCCTAGACTCTGGTGCATGCCTCCGAACAATGGCGAGCTGCTCTTCCTCATCCTGTGCCCGGTCTGACATACAATAGCTAGTCAGCTAGTCCCGTCCTCAAATGAACCCAAACCTTAAACCCCAAACCGTACACCAAGGTGCCCCGCAATGGCTCTGGCTTCGAGCTGATGCTCATCGACAAAGGTTTCCTGGCTTCGCTTTGTGTCTTTCTTCTACATTCAGTGAACGCTTTAATTTGTGTTGGCACGTGTTTTATATCCCAGCTAGCAGTGGAAGAGGAAACGTTCCCTAGGCTTCTATACCAGGGCCGGTTTTTCTGTCCAAGCATCTAATCACAGCATGCACGGTTATGTACGCTTTCGTATGATGTCTCCTGGGGCTACTGGACAAGAAGCTTTTGTAGAGATACAGGTGTTGTGTCTTGGCGGATTTACTGCTGTATTAGTTAACGCCATAATTTATGGGTGGGGCTTTTGTGTCCTAGTGCAGGATGTACGGTTTTGTACGCCTGTGTACGGGTACGGATTTTGTGTGCTAGTGCAGGATGTACGAAATTGTACGCTTTTGTACGGGTATGGTCTTTGTGTCCTAGTGCAGGATGTACTCCAATCAAGTTTGCAGCAGTTGAGCTTGGGTTCTGTACAGTCGCAACCCCCATCACCCCGAATATCCATATATTGGTGCTGGGGCTCTGATGCAAATATATCAGGTCACGTATGGAAAGTAGAGCCACAGAACTACGGGAATGCCTTGTTCGTGGATTGTTGGTATCCTGGGGCTTCGCACGACCGAGCTGCACTCGTGGGGTTTATCCTGCCCAAAAGTTCACTTCGCAAAAATCTAACCACGACTTAATATATGGTATAACTCGGGGATTGTCTTTCTCCCAACAGATTAGTGGTTGAGACTCTTAGGGTCCCGTACTCCTTCCGTCGCCCGGCCCAGGACGTGGTGGGGCTGCCATTCCGATCTAGATCAGGACCCAGGACCAGGGTTTTTTTCACGACGTGTCTGTCGGATCCAAGTACCTTTTTTTTATGCTATGGACAAGTTGCCTAGACTTCCTCCTTCTTGTAACTGTTGCCGCTAGTACTTGCATTGTTCAAACTATTATGAGGATCCTGCTACACGGCGAATGTTCACATATTTCTTTTTGGTATGGAAACCTAAATCTTAGCCCTTAACCCACAGCCTGAAATCCTGACTGTCCGAGGTAAGACTAGTCGCTAGCCTCATTGAGCTTTACTCGTAGCAGCTAGCCTACTCTTGAATATCGGGCTAATTATTAGTCAAAGCCTTTCTGAAGTAGGTCATATGAGCCTGCGAGCTCATCAAATTTGTTGGTGCTTGAACCTGTGCTAAGTGCTAAACATCCGAAACCCGTGCCCCTCTCCACGCTGCCCTGAACCTTAAAAAATAATCTCAGCCCCAAATATCCTGAACCTTCATCCATGAACTTCTTCTCACCCGAAGAGCCTAGGAAGCCCCGGGCCCTTTAGATCACACCCCCGCCCATTGCACGTAATTGCTGTCCGCCGCCCCGAACCTCCGGTTTATCGAGACCCCCTTTCCTGGTTCAACAGTTAGACCCTGGATCGAGGAGGCAGCCTGCAGTGCTTTATCGAAGCCGAGGGAGAGGTCACCTTCGACCGGGTTCATACGCCGGGTTGGGATCCAAAACACAGGGCCCAAACTCTTTTCGGCTTTTGGGTTCGGGGTTTGGCATCTGTTGGCAGTTTAATTGGGGGCTTGAAAGGTTTAGGGGTTTCGGTGTTTAGGGGCTTAAGGGGTTTGGGGTGTCGTGTTTGAGTACTACCATAATGTCGGGAGTTTGGTTCCAGCTTGCACGCTAAACCTTGATCTTGAGGTTCGAGGCTTTGTGGTTTCGAGTCCAGGCCCGGTTTCTGGATTCCCCATCCTTTAGCTACTTGGTAGCAAACTAGACTTATAGTGGTCATGCAGAGGATTATCGCTTCGTCCCGCAAACAAAATCTAGAATTACGAAACGCTTCAAAACAACCCCCCGGCCGCTTCCTTCTGGTCTTGACATGGCCTCTATATCCCTACGACACATGCCAGGGGTGGCAAAGCACGGGGGGCAAGGGCAAGGACCGATTGGCATGATTCGTTGCAAAGCGAGCTCGAGTGCCACAGCCAGGCCGACGCACGTCGGTGTTCGGAAATCATTACCTGCCTGCCCGCAGGACTCTATGTTGGATCGTGGTTTCCAATCTGACAGAAGAGCCTTGCTGTGAGATCCAAAGCCCAACTCCTACAGACCGCCGAAAAATTTTAATCCTAACCTATAGGTGGGAATATACCCCGGGCATCTTCCACTCCAGTAGTCTTGCTACATATTATTTGTGGGCATAGATGCTAGTCATAAACTATTGATTGTAGATATCCTGGATTGAAAGGATAGCTTGCTCAGCTGAGCAGCTGTACCCTAGCCCTAAAGCCACTCGTACTCCAAGCTTTGGGCTGCTGACCGCTTCAGTCGGATGCGACCTGCCAATGTTTCGTGCAGAGCTGGGTTAATAAGTCTTTCATGCATTTGGTTCGGTAGCCTGGCTAGGACTCTCTAGAAAGATATATTATGAAATTAAGAAGTGTCTTCTTTTCCGGGTAACTGGGGCTTAGTCTCGAAACCCTGACACCCGGGCAACGTTTCGGTCAGGTTTCATATATAGTAGAGATTTGAGGATAAAGCCCCAGCTTCTGATCTTCCTTGCTACGACTGCTAGACACCTTGTTTGTGTATACTCGTACGCCTTAAGAATAAAGCCTAACTCTGGACTTAGTACGTATACTTTCACATACCACGAAGCCTTGAAGCAGTTTGACACAACTCAGCCAACTTCTCCAATTTTAAATGACCGTCCCAGATCCCAGGCCCAGCTCTGCAATCATGCATGCAAGCTGTGTGCTTCCAGTGTACATCCTACGGACACAAAACCTCAAACCGTGTATATACGCACACATCCTAATACATGTGTCAATCAAGAAGATAAGGAAGCCATGTATACACAAACGAATGTGGGTTTTGAGTCCTAGTGCAGGATGTACGGTTTTGTACGCTTGTGTACGGGTACGGCCTTTGTGTCTTGTGTCCTAGAGCAGGATGTACGGTTTTGTGCGCTTTTGTACGGGTATGGTTTTTGTGTCCTAAAGCAGGATGTACGGTTGTGTACGCCTGTGTACGGGTACGGGTTTTGTGTCCTAAAGCAGGATGTACGGTTTTGTACGCTTGTGTACGGGCACGGTTCTTGTGTCCTAGTGCAGGATGTACGGTTTTGTACGCCTGTGTACGGGTACGGGTTTTGTATCCTAAAGCAGGATGTACGGTTTTGTACGCTTGTGTACGGGTACGGCCTTTGTGTCCTAGAGCAGGATGTACGGTTGTGTACGCTTTTGTAGATAGTACCGGGTTGTGTGTTAACTCACGGCTTCAGCAGGTACGGTACGGGTTTCGCCTGCTAGTGCTGGGCACTTTATACCGTCGTTGCTGGGTCCTGGGCAAGATTAATATGACCATTCACTTCTGAATGATACCGACCTAATTTTCGCAGGACCTCTGCCAGATTTGCAGTAGCTGCCTCGCCTGTCGATGACCGACAGCAACTTTCCGAAGACCTGGTCTTGCTGAACTCCGGCTAGACTTGCATGTTCGAACCAAAATTGCTTGTTTCGGTTCTAGTTCAGGCATCTGGCTAGTTCGATGGAGAGGCTTCAAAACCACAATGTCTGTTTTTCTGTCCGTCTTAAGGATCTTGGCTTCAGCTCGGTGATTTGTTTGGCCTGGTTTAAACACATCCGATGCACATCTCTTTCGCGGCTTTGCACGCTTGTGTACGGGTACGGGTTTTGTGTCCTAAAGCAGGATGTACGGTTTTGTACGCTTGTGTACGGGTACGGGTTTTGTGTGCTAGTGCAGGATGTACGCTTTTGTATGCTTTTGTACGGGTACGGTTCTTGTGTCCTAGTGCAGGATGTACGGTTTTGTACGCCTGTGTACGGGTACGGGTTTTTGTGTCCTAAAGCAGGATGTACGGTTTTGTACGCTTGTGTACGGGTACGGTTGTTGTGTCCTAGTGCAGGATGTACGGTTTTGTACGCTTTTGTACGGGTACGGTTTTTTGTGTCCTAGTGCAGGATGTACGGTTGCACGTATTAGGTGTTGTGAGCTATAGGAAGTACGGTGTTGTACGCCTTTGTACGGGTACCGGTTGTGTGTTCATTTACGGCTTTAGACGGGTACGGATTTCGCCTGGTAGTGCACTAGTGGTCTGCATCTATTATGCATAATTTGGAGGCTTCCTGTACGGCTGGGTGCAGAATATCGCTGCTTGGCAGATCCAGTTGCTCAAGCAGGGTCTTTTCGCATGCTGAGGTTTGATGGCTTACACTACTTTCCACGAACAGAGGCAACCGTACACAACCGTACGTATCCGTACGCCATAGTCAACGAAGAAAGAACCGTACCCGTACAAAAGCCGTACGTACCCGTACACGCTATAGTACTCGGATCTGGGCCCCAATTCCACGGATCCGATGGCAGAATCAGGACGGCTCGTACCTTATGGAAACACAAGCCACCTAGAGGTGTGGTCGATGATTTCAAGTTAAGGCGGCCACCCGACGGCGACACGGCCCGCCAAGCACAGGCCACTCACACAAAGGTTATAGTTTGTGGAGCCTTTAATATTACAGCCCCCAAAATATATTGAATCTCAAGCCCTTAAATTAACAACCTCGCCGCAGGCTGAGCTTCGAGCTGCAAAGGTGGAGATAATGGAGGCCTGTGTTTCTGAGCTGCCATATAATGTTTACACATATACATATACATATACGAGATCACATAATATCTGCTGGTACGTGACAGGCTGATCGGGGCTTGGATTCAGGTGTCGAGACTTGGCTATGAAGTCATCTCATGCCTGGCTTCGGGAGCTCGTAAGGCTTTATGTGTGCTTGTAGCCAAGGCTACTGCAGAGGACTCGCAAGCCACACAGCCCTGGGATGGAACACCGGCACCCGCTGCCAACGACTTCGACGATGACGACTTGGAAAAGGAGTTGGAAAGGCTTATGAGCGAAGAGGCTGGGACACATGTGCCCGGCACAACTACGTGCCCCAAATCCTGAACCTTACTTACCACAACCAAACGAAAAGGGTGTGCTGCGGTTCCTTAATTATACTAGAGGCCGATTGCAGATATACTGTGACACATGCTTTAGCTTTCTGATAGACACACAAACAGCTTAGATTCTAAACCCTATGCCCCTGTCCAAATACCCCAAAGACCGGAAACCACGAACACCAAAGTCCTAAAGCCCCGAGCCATAAAGGAGTGTAGTCAACAATCCTGAAGCTTGTAGCTTCAACTCTTATTAATAATTGCACCCTGCGATTCAATCCTGTACCCTGACCCGCCCCTCAGTACCGAAGCTAAGCAGTGGCCCGAGCATTGTCCGTCAGGACGCCGCAGCTTCCGCCCAGGCTTCTGAGCCTGAAAGCAATAGCAAGATGCAGGCACTTGAACAAGAACAGGCTACGCTGAAACAACTATACGAAGAAGCTGTGGCCCGCATTGCTAAGCAGAAGCTAGAGGCCACTACGCATGGCACAGCAGCAGCAGAAGAAGAAGCCGAGAAGAAAAGAAAAGCAGCAGCAGCAGCACAGGAAGCCGAGGAGAAAAGACAAGAAGCAGCAGCAGCAGCAGCAGAAGCCGAGAAGAAAAGACAAGAAGCAGCAGCAGCAGAAGCCGAGAAGAAAAGACAAGAAGCAACAGAAGCAGAAGCCGAGAGGAAAAGACAGGCAGCAGCAGACGAAGACGAAAAGAAAAGGCAGGAAGCAGCAGCAGCAGAAGCCGAAAAGAAAAGACAGGAAGCAGCAGCAGCAGAAGCCGAGAGGAAAAGGCTCGAAGCAGCACTAGCCGCAGAGATAGAAGCAGCTGATGCCCAGAAGAAACGCCGAGAGGAAGCACTTGCAGCAGAAGCAGCTAAGAAAGCACAAGAGGCAGCAGCAGCAGAAGCAGCAGACACCGAAAAGAAACGGCAAGCAGCTGTTGAGGATGAAATCCGAAGAATGAGGCAACGGATCCAGGAGCTGACGGGGGAGACGCCACCGACAATCGGCACGAGCAACTTCAAACGTGCACACAGCCCCACACGAGCAGCACCGAGCCGGAGCATGGATCTATCGCCACTTTCGAAACAACTCAAACAGGAACACGAGGAGGAGGAAAGGCTCAAAAGGGAGGTTGCAAATGCTACGAAGAAGGCGAAGTTGGATGAAATCCAAAGGAAGAATGAGGCCATGCGACAAAAGCTCTTGGCCTTGGGCAGCAGTGCTTCGACAAACTCCCCGCCCGCAGCAACTCCGAACCCCAGTGCTTCGCCGGCCCCGGCCGCAACAAGTGCGAACCCCGCTCCGTCGCCGACCCCGGCCGCAACACCTGCTTCGCCGATCCCACCCCCGCCTCAGGGCCCACCCCCACCTCAGGGCACTGCGACCCCTCCGACAACGATCCCAGCAGCTGCTCCTCCCGAGACTTCGACGAGTGAACCGACTGCTGCTGATGAAGTGCCTAGACCAATCTATTATAGTACCTAAACCTAAATCCTGAAACCTTAAGTTTTTCTCTGAGGAGTATAAATATTTGTATATATATATAGACAGTTATATAACATCATACATTAATAAACTATTACTAGGGGTATACATGTATGTGTGTATATATATATATATGAGAATAATCAAACCGAAACTTTGAGCAGCCACCAAACAACATACATCTAGTGATCCGAGGCGAACACAGTGGCACGAAAAGAAGCGGCCGCAGCGATCCAGACGGTCCGCCGGCTTACGAAAAACCCTCACCGATGCACGCTGGAGATCCTTCAAGCATGGAGGACGGGTGGTGATGTGAGGAAGGATATGATCAAGGAGTACATGGCGAGTGGACAGGACGTGAACAAGGTCACGGTGGGGATCAGTTTGAAGGATATGATGGTTGAGCAGCTTAGTCAATGTTTAGAATTTTTGGGCTCATTGGGCTCCCTCGTTCGTTTCATGTGCTCAGCTCAGGCAAGAAAAAAAGACAAAGCAGTCTTTGACGAGAGAACAGGTGTTCACGCACTACGCCCCCAACGAACAGAAAGCGAAAGATGCCATTGACTTTGCTGTCCAGCAAGGCCGTAAGGATCTCAGTCCAATCGAGCCACAACCAAAAAGTTGTGCATGTTGGTCTACTTAAGGCTGCCGGGACGATCCGAACTTCCCTGCTGGTTCGGGGAACCTGCTGTACAATATCTTCACAGAGTTTTCCGAGACTGAGCTCTTCGAAAAACGTCGCGAGATCGAGGCAAGCATCAAACCACTTGCCTCCGACAACAGACCGGAAGCCAAAAAGCTGTTCTCAGAACTGCGACTTAGTGGCAATTCGTTGGCTTCGCTTCGTTCTGGTTCTCTTTCTTCGAGAAACCCTTAAACTAAAGCCCAAACCCTAGCAACAAAACCCTACATTAAAAACTCCAAACCCTAACCTGTCCGTCTGATACCCCTATTCATAAAACCATCCTCGACCCTTCCAGAATAGCTGTTTGCATACCTATCTCAGGTGCCATGAGTCTACGACAGCTACGCCTACGCCGGCTGCCATTACGGAGAGTGCTGCTGCAGGCTAATACGACTTTACGATGCCTTGATTGTTATCGGGTCGGGTGGCTTTGCAGGAGAAGCGAAAGCTTCTGCGAAGGCGACAGCCAAGGCCAAAGGGAAGGCGAAATCGAAAGCTCCGGCGGCCATGAAAACCGGAATATTCGAGTTGACAAAATGCAGAAGCAGCGATTTGAAAGAAGCCCTCCCGCGGTTCAACCGAGCCGAAACGAAAAAAAATATGGAGAAGGAGGTGCTTGCCAAGGTGGGACTTTAAACAGTGCAGCACGTACTCAGAACCCCAATTGTGGAATCGACCCCGGCAGGTCGGCCTGGTTGCACGTCTGCAACTTCAGCTTCAAGACCTCGAGGATGCCAGTGCTGTTATGGATTCGTTGTTAAAGGCCAAAACTGGGCTCGAGGAGAAGTACAAGGCCTTTGGGCTATGTCTGTATGTTCTGCATATGCACTCATCCATACATACAAGTATGTGTTATCAGATGGTGTAGCAGGCCTTAAAGAATCTCGACGAAACCGTTGACGAGGCCGAATGGCAGGAGCATCTAAAGGCCATTTCGCTGTGTACGCATATACATGTTTTCTATCCATCCCTCTCCCCTTCCAAAAGCCTAAACCTTAAACCCTGGCAGGAGGTGGCAAGGGCTTTCTTGGTGTGTGCCAGCAAAGAGGACCCTGTCTGCTGTCACATCATTCAATGGCAAAGTCTGTCCCAGTGTCGTACATACAAAGAGAAGGTGACAGAGTGAGAGTGAAAGAGAGCGAGAGAGAGATAGAGAGAGAGAGAGAGAGAGAGAGAGAGAGAGAAAAAACAAACGAGAACCCAAAACACGCACAAATCTAAGAGAGAGAGAGAGAGAGAAGGAGAGACAGATAGAGATATAAATAGATAGAGAGATGGCGAGGGAGTGAGAGACACATAGCAACCTATGTTAGGAGCTTGAAGAAATACGACTCGTGGCAGTGTGAATGTGTTCTACCTGCAATCGCATCCGCAACTGCAGGAGTTTGCTTTGGGTGTGGCCAAGGTGCATGCAAACAAGAAGGCATGAGTGAAGTTGGCCCCACTGCTGCATGTGCTGTGCCACGGACCGAGACGTTGCAATCCCTAGTCACGGTACATGCTAGCTTCCATATGAAGTGCAGGGTTTCGCTCGGCCCGACATGCAGCTGGATCTTTATCAGCTAGCAATATGGCTGGCTTTTGTGATTGATTCTGGGATGGGCACTTGATGTACTGTGAGCTACACACATGTACCACTGACAAACCGATGAACCTTCGGATGCTGTGTCCAACAAAGTCGTGCTTCCCGGGAACTTCGTGCACCATATGCACTCGGTTTTTGATGCTGGCTGCAGCAGTTAACACAATATCCGGGCATGATTAAGAGCCAACCTGTAAATGCTCTGGTCTATCCGCAGCAAACTAGCAGCTAGCAGCTACTTGATGGTTTTTGATCATGCTAGAAGGATAAGCTGGGCTTACGAGGCACTTGCTCTACATACCGCTTCTATATAGTCTGCATTCCCGCACCTATATATGTGTCTATGTGTGCTTGTTGCCCACCAGCTTTATCCAAGCTAGCTCGTGCTGGTTTTTGAACAAGTGAGCTGTGAACTGGGAAGAGGCACGGGCTGCTAGGAGCTAGAACACAATCATGATCGCAAGATTTGTGACTCAGCCTGCTGCCCACCGGTTTGCAGCACGCTGCGACTCCTCCGTCGGACGGAGACGAAAGATCATCTCAGGTTTTTGCTTGCACATGAGCTCATTTGGTTCTGTTGAATCCTTGCACTCGTTGGTGCTCTCTCACTGCCTCGGTCTCCCTCTCTCTCTGTCTCTTTCTCTCTCTCTCTCTCTCTCTCTCTCGCTCTCTCTCTCGATCTCCTCTCTCCCCTCTCCACTCTCTTCTCTCCGTGTCTTCCTCTGGCTTTTACAAGCTTAGACGCACAGCTCCCCACGCAGGCCTCGACGTCCCGGCACCCGAGCCGAAGAGGACTCCTTCCGACCTGCCGTAAGCTTCACATTACATAAGCCGTAAAACTAATGAACTTTCACCCCATATATATATAGGGAACACCTTAAATCCTGAACCCTGAACCCGCTAGCTAGGTTAAAATGCACCGCCCTATCGCAGGAAACGTCCAGCTCCGAGGCGGCGAGACTTACAACGACGATTGGATGCGAAAAATGCTGCTGCATCGAGCTCTCCTGTAACCCTGGACAAGCTTTATGTGCCCCAGCAAGAAGCACTGCCGTACAGGCTGCAGAGTCTGGCGAATGCATCTCTATCGAATACTGCTGTCGCTGCTCTACAAAAAAAGAATGCTGATGTGAACTGGATAAGCGACTTGTGTTCAGCCGCTGAAACCGAAAGCGGCAACAACATGCACTGGATCACCAAGAAGCTGGCTGGGAGGAGAACAGAGAAGCGATTCCACGAGTTTTTCGCACGATCATTACCAAAGGTATCGAAAATCAAGTTGCCGCTGCTGGTGTCGAAGAAGAAGAAGAAACTTGTGGTTGAGAAACCATGCAGAGACTTGTTCAAACTTCCATCGTCGAACGTTCATGCTCTTGTAGTTTTCCGCACAACCTTCCTTAACCAACTTAAGGTATCGTTCTTCCGAGCTCCTACATGTCGTGGTTGGAGAAGCGGCCTTGGTTATTGCAAGCCATCTGCTTTGGTTCTTCTACGCCGCAAGATCGCGAGCTGCTGCTTGGTTTGTAAGTCAGGATCAGGTGCACTAGGCTAGTTTGCAGGAGCTACTTCGCTTCTGACAGATACGAGCAGCTCAGGTTGAGCAGCACTTTGCAGAACGGCGACGTCGGCTACACTGGAGGTCTTGTACCCTAACCTCGAAATTACCCTAAGCCCTTAACTCTAAATAAAAGGGTTCTTATCACGACAGGGCCTGATGATCTCCCTTTTCGTCTGCACGGCGATGAGGGTCCTGGCCAAAAGTCCAAGAACGTGCTTGTTATCAATATGTCATTTCCTTATACTCATTCGGGTGAGCCTTGTTGGCAATGAAGCTGTTGTGTCCGCTTGTTTGGTCATGCAATTCGCTCGTGCTCACCTAGGACACTTTGAAGACTCGCCTGTGCCTCGCATGCCTTACTGGTCAAACGGTTCTCACTCGGGCGATGCAAAAGAACAAGAAGATCGGCACGCAATTCCCCGCGACCTTGGATGTTCTTATGAGCTTCCTCAAAGATGATTTGAAGAAAGTGTGCCTAGACCGGGTTATTCTGTGCTAAGTTTTCTGGCCCATAAGAACACTTATTGATGTCGAGTCTCCAGGAGATTCAAACTTGATGGCATATCTTCCAGAAAGCTATGCTATATGGGATTGGCTGGGGACCAGAAGTGGTTCCAACAGATCCTGCATTTGCCTGTGCCTCAGACGGGTACATCGTTTTTCTCAATGCTAGTTCATCCCTGGCTCAGTCCTCGACACTGGAAGGGGAACGGCGAGGCCAATGGAAACAGGCCCGGACATGCTCTCGTTCGGCTTTGAGGGTCTGTGGGGTAAATGTGCTTTTTCGAGGTTATTTGTTAGGCTTCAGGTACCCAACTAGGAAGTGGGGGGATGATATTTTAAGTAGGCAGGTCTACACATAATCCTTATGTAGCCTAAAGCCCGAACCGAACCCTCACTCCTAAATACTTGGAAGTGCCGAGCTAGATCTGTGTGCAGGATGTGCATGCAGTGCCAGCATCTAGGAAAGCATCTGGGTCCAAATATTGCGAAGCCGTGCGACCTTAACTCATCCCAGGCTTTCCTCCACGATAGATTTGATGGATGGTGCAACATTCTTATCTATGGGGTCCGGGCACTACCTGAACTTCTTCGGAGATTCTCCTTGGGAGCTTTGTGGTCGCGAAAAAAATACAGAGGCTTGTCTGCCAGAGGTAAACATTTTTTGATCGTAACAAGTTCAACTGAGGACTTCTTGCAAGAGCTCTGGACTGCCCAAAGGGGGCACGGAATCCCTGCACTCTGCGACTTCGATGGCTTCGACAGCAAGCTGACCCACTTCGACACATTACATGTGTGCTACAGGGGTTTTGGGCCAGACTTTACCGCTTCAGTCATGCAAGACCTTTTTCTGGGAAACGGAGGCTTGACAAAAGCTCACACTCTTGCCTCTACATGGGCGAAAGCCCAAGGCCTCGAACTTGCTTGCGACGACTTCAATCTAAATGCAGATGAGAAGTACGCTTTCCTTAATGCTAAGGGTGCAGACATCAAAGTCATATGTTTATGGCTTGTTCCTGGAGCTGACAGCAACTGTTTTTAAGCGCTTTTTTTTGTCGAATAGTCTACCGGTAACCACCCTTACCCCGGCCTGTACCCTGTATACTCTAAAACCAGAGCCCTAAGCCTTAATACATACAGGCCTGAATTTCTGCATAGCTACAGAAGCCCAGGCAGTATTGGTTCCGGTGGCTACGAAAACCTGGGCAGATGAGAAAGCTGCAGTGCTGAATCTGAGACATGACTTCACAGTTTCGGAATTCAGATAAAGGCAAGTGCCATGCCTTTAAGCTTGGATCCAAGGACCGTCCGGTCATTGGCTCGGCTGATCAAACTCATGGATGCTTATCTCTACGTATTCCCACCGTCTGCTGTTGCAAAAGCGAAGAAGCTGGTTCGCCGTTTTTTGGTGGGCTACGTGTACCTGGCATATGATGCTTTTTGTGCCGGCAAACGCCGGTACAAGCTGAGACCAAAGATTCTTGCTCTGCATTAAACACATTGCAACATAATATGTTTCTGGCTTGGAAATGAAACGTCTCTGCAAATCAG